AACGTTCTACTGTAACTACAGTTTAACTGTTATTAAATACAGACTCGGATACAGTTCGCAATTATTCGCACATTTGTTTCAACTATTACTGAGTTAAAGCTATTATAAAGCTGAATATGCGCCATTAGCATCCGAAAATTATCCATGTTTATAGGCGTACCGTGGATATTGTGCATTTTCATTTCCCAATAGCTTAATGGCTTGCTAAACCGGTTTCATTTCTGTTAAGGATAGATTTTGACCTATATTTTTCATATCTGTTTCAATACGTGAAAATTATGGCTAGACCACGTTTTATGTTTGATATTATCTAATAATTCATGAACTTTACAATAAAAAAATTCGACAGACTTTCCAGCCCATTAAATACTGATATCGTTAACAGCGATCACACCTGGAATCGCTAACAAAGGAGTAGAACAGAATGCTCCATCTAATTCAAAATCCCACGTAAATCGTTTGACCCAAATACACGTTGTAAGTGTCAACACACTCAGAGAACTCTCATCATAATAAAAATGAAGATAAAAAGTGTTCAGTCATCGGTGTTCAGTAAATCGTGATAGAAAACCAAATAAATATCCTTTGCGCGAAAATGGGTCGCTTTCCAATTGACAACGCATGATTAATGGATACCCAAGTTCGCATAAATCACGCAGATGTTGCGGTGGTATCAAATCTGAAGATATTACCGAACGTTCTCTTGCTGTCATGAACGGGAAACACTTAACAATATACTTACGTTAGGCACACGTACCTGAGTAATGTGAAATACATTACTGTAAGTACCCTGTCTAGGTAATTACATAAGTTTTTGTAACGCCTTAGTGTATGTTTAATCAGACTAATTTTGTAATGGAATCTATTAAAACTCTACTGTGTTGTGAAAGATGTTAATTGTCTGAACGGTGGTTTAAGTAATGAGGTTATATTCTGCCTTTCTGACTGTAGGCTGATAGTGAATGAGCTCCCCTGACTTGAATTTAGAATAGAAAGGAAAATGCTCCTTCTAGATATAGCATTTTCTAGATAACTAGGTAATTATCAAAACTCAAACAACCTTCTGTATCCTGCGTTTGTTTCTGACTAAACGAATGTGATCTAAATTCGACCTATGTCACAATACTAGCGACAACATCAAACACGTAACAACGTGTCCAGAAGTCGAGATACACAGTGCGAAGGAACATAAAATGAGCACCTTTGTCGAGGCGCTCGTGTTATTGGATTGATCCGAGTATCCCGGCTACAAAGGCCCAATTACGAGGGGATGGCGCGACTACAAGGTCAATCAGTCCTCTGACGGTCGTCCGTTCAGTAATGACTCTACCCGGATTTAGCGTCCCTATACTCTAAATTCGGGGACTATGATTTCCTTAACATGTACCTACATATGTGCGTCTCATACGGATTGGGAACACATCCTTAATAAGTAACCGTGTTTACATTGTACAGTAGTTAGTTAGTAGTTACTTAGTTGTACGGTGTAATTACTGTTGAGTTAGCACGCGAGAAAAGCTTCACACCTTTTAAGTGTAGCTATTACGCGTAGAGGTCGGAGAAAGGTGCGCAAAGTTCTTCGATTGAAACAGAAAAAATCTGAGAATCTACTAGTAAATGGAATTCGTGTTATCTTTTCAATATAGGTAGGTACCTATGTATTCGTTTGAAATAAGCATAACATTATCTGTTTCATTTGCTGAGTTGTTTTTCGAAGGCACGCTTTCAACAGAACTGTTTGATAAACAGAAATCGCGATCACAAACACATTGACCGTGACTTTGTTCTCAGTAAATGCGTACACAAACTACAGCGATACAAATGCTTTATGATCATCTCCATTGGTTCCCCGGCACGCTCCATTGTCCATTGTATATACAAAGAATTCATTCATTTGTGCGAAATGAAGACTGCTGCAATGTGTCGATATATCAAACTCCTATTGTCTACTTTCTGGGCAAGTGTACAAGCTTCGTTTAACCACAGATGAACCTTTTATCTTCCATCCATCATAGTTTTACACAATTCTTCTAGAGAAAAAGAATAGTAATGGACGTCCGCAGTATTATGCAAGCCGGTATTAAGGTAGGCGAGTGGGTAATATTTCAAGTATTTGTACTTGTACGTGACCAATCGAAGCCACGGCCTCTTTTAATTATGCATGGGACGACGTGATTATGACCATAACTGAATGCGCAACGCTTGATTCCAATAGCTCTCAGTCAGTTCAATTAAAGTCACAATTATTCAATAACAATTAATCCAAGAAAATTGATTCTTGATCTAGCAACGTTAAGATCGTTGTATTTAAGCAACAAATGTTGGCAGTTTTAATTCGACATTCGAATACATTGATAACGTGTTATATGTACTCAATAAATAATATCACTTATTAATTTATCATCGTTCATCCTCTACGAGAATTTAATATTAATTAACAAAATAATTACATGCAACTAAAGAGCTTGTAAATGTGTACTCATTAAAATATTTTGCCGTTAATGTTCCCGGAGCATTTTGGTGTATGTACGTACTTACAATGTACATTATTTCATTTCCTACATTTACTTAGGTCGGCAGTTAACCCTGCGACTGCGTAGTACGTCGGCGATAACCTAATATTCATAACAGACGGTACCGTGTAGCTAGGAGCACAAGGTCTCCACCGGGTCAATTACTAATCAACTCAAGGAACGGTCGCACTCAGATACTAATGACCAATTATATCAATTAACTCTTGACCAAAACATTTTTGTTCAATCCTTTTATACAGCATTCATCATTGTGAAACGCAGGTATTTTAACTTATGTAATCTGCTTTCGTTAAAATCATAAATATTATTAATGTTGTGTACGATTCAATGAAGTGACTCATTATGTTTTACGTAGTTTTATTCACAACATTTTTTATTTATCGTCCTGTAACATAATTGTAAGTAATACATCATTAATATTGTACTGATTTCCTTTTGGTTTGTCATATGTCTGCTACGTTACTGTCATTCGATAGGGTAGGTATAACACCCTCAGAGGCCACGATTGCATAGAGTGGGGACTCTAGGTGCCCATCCAGTGGCCTCAGGGAAGACGGTAGCACAGTGGTCACGTTCTGCCGTGCAAAGCTATGATCAAGGGACACGCACGTCTCCCTAGGGATGGGGTGTAACAGGCGTTGCATCGTTGGGGCTCCAGAGCAGGTCTCTTCAGAGGACCCGGTGCCCCTTACAGGTGCTGAGGGTCGGGGGACGGGGACGTTTTAGTGAGGTACGAATCCCACACTCCTTAGTCTTTCTCCCCAAAAAGCGAGGCGGCGCCTTTTGAAGGTTTCCAAAATAAAGGGTAGGTATAACACAAACATTCCTGAAAAACCTTACATATTTAAAAACATATACCATGGTTTATCTGTGTACGGTTAGGTTTAGTTGGTAAGTGAAATTGAAATAAAACCTCATAACCTTCTTCGTTTACAAAAGAAGGACACTTACCTAAGTATTGTTTTGATTTCGTTATGCTAATTAATGACGGATTAGTATCACCCAATTGTGTTATTGTAGAATGTAGATCATTAGTAAGAGAGAGATTATTTCCTTAAAAACTTTCCAGAATCGATACTTGATAAGTGTCTGCTATAAATATATTTTCCGATCGAGAAAACTAGAAACTTTTCCCGACGGCACCCTATTAGTGTGATATATTTTTGGATAGATTCGTTGTTAGCGGGGTTAACGATGATCCGAACTTGAACGAATGAGATGTTCGCGTTATTTATCGGCCATTTAAACTAGATACTTTATGTTTAGATAAAGTTGTGGCCAAATACTCGAATTTAATTTTAAGACGCGCTTGAGTATAGTTTTTTCCTTCAAATTCTTTGTAAAATGACAGAGATGGCACGATATTTAAGTACAAGTTAAAATCGAGTAGCCTTTCAGTATTCGGACGTTAGTTTTATATTAAAGTAGCATATAAACAACGATTATGCAAATATGCCACTTGGATTGTCCATACAATTTCCTTATAGTTTCCTTTTAGTGATTTTCTATGCATATGCACAGATTTACTTGTAGAATGTTAAATAACCGATAAAATCTACCCGTCTAAACCTGTTCTAGAATAAAATCTATAAAGAAAATATCTCAGTATAGTCTTTGTTAACTGATGACTAACCACAACACTGCAATATACAACATTGCATTTAGAATAAGGAAATGAAATGTAGCTATAAAGCTCTTCAGATGTTTATAGGTAAACGTGCAATAAATTGTCGGCTGGATTGAGTTAAGAGCATTATAAAGATTGAACGAGGAGAACATTAAAGCAACCGTATACTAAAGATAAAGCGAGACATCAAGCGTTCTCTTTCGTAACCAATATTCAAGTATGTAGTCTATTAACAGGAGCGGACTATGGTGTCTGGTGTATGTATGGTATACCACGTGCGCGCCTGATAGTTGAGCTTACCGCTTTCCACTAACAACAATGTCGTGACTCGGTCATTACCTACTTGGCCCCAAACACACATCTACACTTTTCCAGATACTTAGTTTTACCTCCTTTGCTTTTAAGATCCTATTCGCAATTTTCATTAATTTACAAAACGTTGTCCTTTTTTCACAAAAAGCTATTTGATTATTTCGTGTTCCAAACGAAAGCTTTAATTTAAAACACACAATAAAATCAAATATTAATTTAAGAACAAATTGAGACAAGCCTTTGTTCCTTCAAATATCAAAATGAATGAATCCTTGACATTTGAAGTAATCTGTGAGTCAACTTAGTGCACCATACCATAATATCGAAAGTTGAAAAAGGGCGAGGTCGTATCGCACGGAGCGACCTACCGGAGGTACTGTCAACACTATCCTAGGTTGCAGTATAGTCATCAGTCAACACATCAATTGAGCTACGGTTGAACCAAACCAGTCATAGTACTCGACAACCTGAGTTCTTTCTGCGTACTTCCAGTTGCCGTCACGCGCGCCAGTCACCGCTGAGACGTTCATCCGTACGAGCGTGCTGCGCGCGCGCCTCTAACCGCCGAATTCGAATTTCTAATCGTGACGCAAACTAGTGTTGTGAGTTGTGCCAATTCGTGACAGTGTACTATACCATCTATGTTACCAATGCTGAATTAACAAAATGACAATGATGTGAAGTGACAGATATCAATGTGATTGTTCGATAACTATGGAAGACGTTTGCATTTTTATGGTAAGGAAGTGTGTTTTTTATTATTATATTTATGGGTTCGTTGACATTGTTAGTGGACATTCATATTCGCAATGCATTTCTGTTGTTTTGGTGACTACATGTGTACGACATTTCTTTTTTTCTTAGATTATTAAATTCCACAACAATATTATTTAATCTTTGATTAGAAACATCAATTATAATTATTGAATCAACAAGTGCAACCTACACGGCTAGCGGCTGTAAATAATGGTACATTAAGACTAATAAGTAATCAAATGAAAACCAGTACATTAACATTTAATTGAATATTTCATTATATCGATCAAGACAACTTAATTAGTACTTAACGAAAAATAATACACAAACAAAAAACTGTCACTTAGCAACCTTGAGACGAACTAGAATCCAATACTAAATTGATGTCTTACATTTCCAAGTAATTAGAATTAGCACATAGCAAGCCACGGTTCTCTTGTTTCGTAACAATTTATTAAAACAAGCGTTATTGAAACTGGAATAAGTAGACTGAATCAGCATAAAGGCGTAACCGCGTAACATCGAGAGTCGTCTCACCTCTCGCACATACATAGCTATTGCCATATGGACTCGATGCATATTAATGTGGACCGCATAACTCCTTACCTCCAACAATGTGGTTACGACACTTCCTGGTACGAGCAAGCCCGAGCTGCAGGAAACAATACGACAAACAAAGCTTGCGCGACTTACTTAGACCTATAGAAAGTGGTAAAAAAGTTTTATGAATCCTTGAGGGTCGACCCAAAAAAAAGTGTAATGTTTAACTGCAAGTGAATAAAACGAACAATGGTACTACAACTTTATTACCTGGCATGGTATAAGTCGCTAAATGTAACTTTGCAACTAATTTGCACGACAAAAATAATATTATCACACTGTTATCAGAACTCGTAATAATATCAAGTAAGATCACAGAAAACAACTTGTTGACCAAACAAGGACACATATGTTTTCAGACGATCATGACGTCGTCTTACCTACTCGATGTTGTTTAATTCCGTCATCAATATTCATTTTACGCCATGGTCATACTGATTCAATAAACATATGTTTGACAGTCGCAAAATTGTGTGTCTAAATAGCAACAATTTTGTTTAAAAAGTTTAATAATGTCTTCCTATGTAAAATGGACATTCGAATACACAAAATCACGAAAGAATTTCGGCAGGGAAACACTGTTTCAGATAGTACCAGCTACAATGCTGGACTCGATTTATCCTAACAAAGAAGATCAAAAGCAATACATACTCCGAAATCCAGTGCAACGTGAAGTGCAAGCAACATACTGTGCATCCGAAAATACGACAAATACGCCGCTATTAAAAACTCACGACCAAAGTATTAACCATACTGAGGGTGGCTGGCCTAAAGAAGTCAACCCTTATAACGAGGATCATATTCAAAGACATCGTCGCAGAATTATGCATGAAGACAACTACATACAATCCGTACAAAACTTGTCAACATCGTTGTTCCACTGTATAGACCAAAACAATGCCATTGAAATGTACGAAACATATTATGGTAAAATGCCTGAGCAGAAACCTGTAGAAAAATATGACATACGAATCGCTAACGTGTTTCGCGACGAACATCAAAGACCCATATCGTGTGTCAAGTGGACAAATGAAAAACGTGCTAAACTAGCGGTTGCTTACTGTTTCAAAACATGCATGCCAGAACCGAAGCTAAACAAGATTAATGATTGTTTTATATGGGATGTTCACAGACAAACAAAACCAGTGTACATTCTAAAACCTAAATACCCTTGCTGGCAACTTGCGTGTTCTCCCTTAACCCCTGAACTGTTAGTATGCGGCCTTGAAAATGGCATCGTTAATGTGTTCGATGTACGTGTTGGCGAAGCAGCTGTATCATCTAGCTCCGTCTACAATTCACATCGCGAAGGAGTAACATCACTTCTTTTCATACATTCTCGCACCCACTCTGAATTCTTTACTGGCTCATCTGACGGACAGTGTCTTTGGTGGGATTTGCGCCACCTTTCACATCCTCTGGATCAATTGCCTATGTCAGTCAGACACCAAGCATCAGAAAAACCCGGTCTTAACAACGCCGAGGGAGTTAGTGCGTTAGAATTTGATCATGGCTTGCCAACGAAATTCCTTTGCGGAACCGAAACTGGTTTAGTAATTAATGCAAATCGCATGGGAAGAAGTCATGCTGATATTTTAGTTTCGTACTGGGATGCCCATGATGGATCTATACAAGCTGTACAGAGAAGTCCTTGTACATTTAGAATGTTTTTGACGTGTGGAGACTACACGGTTAAAATATGGAGCGAGGAAGTTCGCACCCAACCTATCATCGTAGCTCGGCCTTATAACTATTTAGTGTCTGACGCCGCTTGGGCTCCTTTGAGATTTTCATCTTTCATGTCTATTTGTTCAGGTGGCGTATTTTATTACTGGGATCTATTACGTAAATATAAGGAACCAGTAACGACTCTCCATGTATCTAAACATGGCCTTACGAGATTGACACCCCATTCGGGGGGTGAATCAGTAGCTGTAGGAGACTGTAAAGGATCTTTATACTTACTGAACTTGTCAGAAAATATGGCAATACCGGGTAATCGTGATAAATTACTTATGAGTCAAGTATATGAACGTGAAACGAAACGAGAACATATACTGGACAATCGCGTAAAAGAAATTCGGTTGAAAGCCAGAGCCGAGGAAGAAGCATTAGCTAATGAAATACCAGAGGAAATAGCTGATGAGGAAGAATTGGAACAAGTAGCGGAAGAAGAATACTTTCGGATTGTTCAAGAGGAACTGAAAAGCATGGATGTGAATTCCGAACAAGATGGTGAATAGCGACTTTTCATTTAACTATTAATGCTTATGTTACTACTTACACATGGATGTTTGTTATTGTAATTAAATATCTCCTGCTATCTAAGTTACCATCAAATTAATATACAAAAATAATTTGGACACGTAGGTGAATTTTGACTACGTAAGTCTATTTTAATATGTACATACATATCTATTTTTCTTAACATTTAGGTTATCGTACTGTTATTCACATAAGTAAGTAAGATTTAGTAGTCTAGAAGAAGTTAGTCTGCAAAATGGCTATCGCCTGGTTGCCTACCGAAGAACGAATGATATAGGCAATTTTATCACACAAAGCTTTATCTTATTTCAGACGTGTATTTATATAACCACACTTGACTCAAGAATAAACGGAGAAAATGAATTACTTCACGGTGTGTAGGTACCTAGGAGCGATATGAGATGTTTAATGTTTGTAAAATGCTACAATTTTAATCCATAACCTTTGTGAAATATCTGATTCATGTATTATTGAAGTGACTAGCATAAAAACTTTGCACTTACATGGCCTTACTGACTCGCTAACAAAGAGATTACAGTTCGTTTGTGAGTGATTGAATATTAACTACAGGTTGTAAGTAAGCGGAAATGTTGTTTTGTCTGTCTTGTATAGTAACATGTTTACAATTTACCTACAAGAGCAGTCCCGGATGTTTAGTATCGAGAAGCCCGCATGTCTCACAGCAAATCCGGCGGCTCGGCAGCAAGGGCCATGACCGCCGATTTATACAAAACGACAATTCTAACATGACCCGTCAGATTTCAATAGAGATGCCCCTTTGTAAACATATCTGATGAATTAATAAGAGAGGCGGGGAAGCTCTCATTACAATGGTGGCGTAAATTACTCGAGCCTCGTGAGTTGCGTGAATACAAAAGTGCGTCACCGGCAACTTTCACCGCTTGGTACTTACCACTCCAGGCGCAGGCGCACGCACCGAGCATGCCAGCCTCGATCCCATTCAACGTGCCTACAAATATTTGCTTTTTATATCCACACATTTATGTTAAAATATAACCGGGTCTGTGATCCAGTCTGTGACCAATATCCACGACAGAAATATCTTACGCAACCTTTTCAAAACTTTCAAATTAATTATTTAATTAGAAACTTCAAACAACTACAAACTTCAAAAGTAAAGATATCTTAGCAAAATTACTTAAGTATCTAAACGTGTTCCTGAAACATCGTAGTAAAACGTTAATTACTAATTCGCTAGGTAATCTAATTTGTTACAAAAGTACTGAATATATTTTAACGTTCATCTTAAGTACGATACTGAGATTAACGAGGAATGCGTTCAGTACCTCGACTATGTAGGTTAATGTCTAACAATCCAGACCTCAGTACGTACAAATAGCACAGAACATAATATTATATGTGCCTATAAATTGTACCTGTGCATATCTAAATAATAACAGCGATAGACGCACTGCTGTATAACCAACCACAGATTATAAATACCTGCGTATATTATACTGGATCGATTATGATTGCTACGTTCGTTTCGTTTCTGCAAATTATAACTATAAAGGATTCCACGGTCTAGGGGAAAATCAACTTTATATAAGTTAATAATTGTGTTAAAAATCGATTAATAAAGTGTTTACGATATAACGTGGTCAGGATAAAAATGAAGAACAATATTCAATACTCAATATCTTTAATGTATTTAAAGTGTAGATGTAGAGGCATTTTAAGGTGGCATTTTAACCTATGCATAAAGCACCTACTAGAGATAGGTACTTTTAAAAAAAAATATATGTATGTATGTATAATCATAACATATCGTGCGCTTTATATTTTAGTTATTAGATACTACATTGCACATTTATATCGATTTCATTAAAATAATCCAAAAATTTACATCATTTTTCAATCACTAACAACATATTCCTGACTTCCTCTAATATTACCAAAATGGACGCTATTTCCTTACCCATAAAGTACTAATAAGTAAACGTGAAGGTAACAGCTGGGTCTAGAATCTAGAATCTAGGTACTAAGTAGAACCTAGGCGTGTTCGAAGCCATTAGTGGCACCTAGTGTTTCATAACGTTTGCTTAGTCAGACGTGATTATTAGATACGATCTAGCATACGTAAATATATTGGTAACACGCAAATGTGACTTATTGTATAAACTTTTGTTTAGATAATAAAAATTGATGATATTTAAGTGTAACATAAAGTATTTATTTCGATTAATCCACACACAGGCAATTTAGATATGTCAATTTATGATTATAACTCATGAAGTAACATGATTAAGTTGTCAGTCGTTAATTAGTATTAAAATAGAGTCACGATACAAGAGTAAACTAAATTACTTGTTAGTACTTTGGTATTGGAAAGTATGTTAGTGCTAGGAAAGTAATTCATAGTCGCCAAAGGCCATTTAATCAGTTCATTTATAATAATAAATTCCACTCATCAATAAACCTCAATTTTCAGACAATTTTAAACGCAAAGAGATTTTCTCTTCACGTATTAATAAAAGTAAATTGCTAAGATTAACGAGCAAAGATTAACTATGCAGGTTTTCATTTCATACTAAGTAGCAGTTATACAAATCATTAGCATTATTTTATTAACATACTTATAAAATATCTTATAATATAAATCATTTTTTATCAGAAACTTTGTCCTCATTTAGCCAAAATACGAGCTACTTACAGTAAATGCTAAAACACTAACATAAAATATCTAGGACAGATGATAATGATAGCACCATATGGCTACTGAAACAATATACAAAAAATATAAGACCTATTTTGGGATTTATTGTGCCTATAAACTACACGTGTGGTCTGCCATTTCGATGTAAGTTCACTAACTCTTTGTCAGTTCATTTACACGTACCTAGGTACAGTGAGCAGCAGATCAACCTACTGCAACTTGTCAAATTCCTTTATTACATTTTCAACTTTATTTTTACGACATAAATTCGAAAATCGAATCAAGAAATTTGACAGAAAGGAGTAAGTTATTGTGTTGTCTGTACATTATACGTACTTTTTGCACGCACTACAATTATAAGAAAGGCTGGCACGCGATCGTGACTTACTTCGGAGTTTCGTACAAAAGTTACATCAATTCTTTAACCTTCCTTCACCTTACCTGAAATAGCGATAACCCTGAAATTATTATTTTGGATTGTTCGAGGTGAGTCGTCCGTTTCGAAGAAGACTAAACTTAGGACGAACTTATATCGTTAGGCGATATTTTTTCTTTTTTTTTTTTTTTGTTAAGAACCAACGAAGCAGTATCATGACTAACTTGTTTTTTTTATAAAACTTTACCACTGTTTATGTTATTTCTTCTTGTTTGATATGATGATTGTGACTAATGTGTAATTAATTAAGCAGTTGTTGTTACACTCCATGTAAGTGAGTTTTCTTAACGCCTAGCATCAGATCTCTATAACATCTTCCATAACTGATGAGGAAACATCAATATAAATAGCTAACACACGTCACACTGAATCGATCGTGCATTTCAGGTTAGAAATTGTTGAGCACCCCAGGCTCAACAATCGCCGAACTAAAATCCATGATTGATCGAGTTAATGCCACTCAGCTATTTATTACCAAAGCGTTATCAAACATTCAGGCATACTGATCTGCTCAATCAAATTAGAAAGCTGTTGATTTATAACCGACCGATACTTACATCGATGCATATCGAAATGACTTCATCATGCGAGGGATACACAACTTCGATTCGTTAATAAAACCTAATTTCATAGATATAAAATTAGCATGCTGCACATAAATATTGCGAACACGTGGCTTGAGGGCGGGGCCTCGATCAGAATTCAGAAGCGGGTATCGAATGCCAATGTCAACTGATTTGCAAACTTGTCGTACTGTTACGCTGAGACAGTCGGACGGGACCGTCTGACCCACATCCCACATGACCAAACGGTTTAATTAAGGCACGGATTTTTTGTACAACAGGACATTAGCCAGCTTGTAATAATACTACATGACTCACCAGTCTTGGACCAACGCGTCGTAATAAGGATTTCGTTATTATTAAACGTACAATATGTCTGTATATAGAATAAAAACTTGTTCTTGTTTCCCGACTATCGTTTGCAAAATGTAAATGCACTCATTTATCTTGATGAATATGTCTTTAGGTTTATATTTTGATATCTAGAGACTGTGGACATGCCAATTAAACCGTCTACAGACATATTTGAAAGTTAATATTTATTAACCAATATAATAAATTATGCTTAGATTCGCCGATCAATTCCTAATTCGATTTGCAGGGTGATTACCGTCTTGTTGGAGTTGTTGAGCACCAGTACTAAGATATAAATCGTGTTCTCTAGGTAATTTGTTTTACTACACGTGATCAAACTCTTTGAAAAGAACACCTGGGTTCGTAATTGAACATCTATATTTTATGAGCGATGTCATCATTTTCAAATAGTGGTTGTTCGTAAGTAGCATGACAGTGCCTAACTACGTGTACTTCAAATGCTTTTCTAAACAATTATGTTTACGTTTCGTATTGACAAACAACACAATAGAGTATCTATTGATTACTAATCGCAATTAAGATTACAATATCATATTGTTACTCGATTTAAATGAAAGAATGAATTGATTTCATCACTACTACATGGACGGTCTAAAAATACATTACTCATTTCTGAGGTTCAGTTGAAGATCGTGTGTTCTAAAGAGAGCTGTCTAAAACCAGTTACGGATAATGATTGCTATAGATGATAGTCATTGCGAACATTACATATTTAATACATCATCGTCATAGTGAAAGTTTATACGCGGATTTGCGTGAGCGGAATCCATTCAGTGAATTACTCGTATTAAACGCAAGTTGCACATTAAGGAACATTTCTCGTTTGATGATTTCAAAGTTACGATTACGACTTAACTGTCCTTTTTTACGTTTGTTTTAGACATTACGAGCCATGCCATAACAAAGACACTATATATGTGGTTTTAAGTTACATATAAACGCAGAATATTCAAATTCAAGTAACGTTGCGTGTTTCTCACAAAGGTGATGTCATTTAAACAGTTATAGTGAAGTTAATAAGCTAGTTACAAAGCTTCTAGGTACTCTATCACTTCTCCGAAGTAAGTATTAGTGACTTCTATTCTCTAAACAAATGTTACAATGATACTATTAACAAATACAGTGTTCTATGTAACATTTTCCAACAAGTCAATAGTGTGCAAATAAAATACAATAGGTATATAGCTTGATATTATTAAATACTCATATTTCAAAGTGATTTAAATATTTAATATCACTCTACCAAAATGTAGCTGTAAAATTAATGGACAAAATTTTCCTATACCCACACATAACAACGATAATACAAATATTTCAAATATTTTATGTGTCTACACTATATTAACTGAATAAAATATTCCATTAATAATTAATAATCTTACGACCCATGTTAAAGTTCTCTTTGTAAAGCGGTTTGTTGGTTTGACATTTTCCTTGATATCATATCAAAATTATTACATAGTATAAAACAAAGTCGCTATCTGCCGTCTGTCTGTCCATATGTATGCTTAGATCTTGAGAACTACGCAACAGATTATGATGCGGTTTTTTTTAAATAGATAGAGTGATTCTTAAGAAAGGTTTATATGTATAATATACGTGTAATATAGTAGTAAAAGGTGTAAATTTTTAGTTCATAGTGATTTATATTTTAAGTTGTATCTATTTTCTAATTAAAATTTTATAGTTAGTAATATAGTAGTTATTTTTACATAAGCATTGCACTCGTGCGAAGCCGGGGCGGGTCGCTAGTTGAATAATTTCGAAATAATAGCTAAATTTTCTAAAACTAAATGAATAAAACCAATCAGACAATATAATTAGTGTACCATGAGTGCATTAATAAGTATAATTTTTACGCTCGCAGAACCGATACATCACGGAATCGTACAAATATTGGTTATGTATGCGAATCCAACAGCCGTATAACGTTATTTATAAATAATTAATCGACAATCACGGCTTAATGTATTACAGATAATTAAGGCTGAAGTGATCAACTACATTATTTTCCTTCTTTTAATCTCGTTAGTGGCTACAAGAAATGGAATATTAATACATTTTATACGTTATTTTTGCGAATAACATCTCTCACAGTTCCCATTTCTTTCGTATAATCTTTTTGACATAATGTACAGATGACATAATTTTATTTGCTCTAATGATACTTAGGTTCGTATATATAACCATAATTTTCACATAATAACAATTTATGTAGATTTCATTGGCTATTCGAAGGCTGTTACTTACCTTGTTGACTTGGTGCCTAACCGTTGCATTCTATTAAATGTCTGCTATGTATAGAACGAACTGAACACAGTTAACACAACATAGCCGCTTGTCATTCTGTGAAAGTTGTGCACGTTGACGTTGGGAAAATGTAAATACATTGCACGTAGGCGTCAATACAAACGCCTTACTACTTCTTACTACTCATATGGGATGTAATGACTTAGCTACGAAATTCACACATTATTGCGATCGACTTCTTGTTGGTAAATAGAAACTGTTCTTGTGTCTACTGAGTGATTTTATGTGGTATAATTTCAGTGATTTTAAAGCTGGTGTTTGGTATTTTTGAATCTATTTATCAATATAAGTAATCATCATAAGCCTATACTTAACTGTCTCAAAGGCCTGTTTTCAAATATAAACTACGCTCTCCTAATTTCTATTACACATTACAAATTAGGAGAGCGCAGTTTAAAATGTGCAGGTTTCAGATCAGAGAACCCTTAACACACCTGATATGCATCAGGTGTGTTAAAATGAATTTTACTCTGCTGGCACCATAGGACATGCAATTTCCAAATACAATAACAGGATTTCTTTGTTCCACAGTGAAGTCAGGATGAGTAGCGGTGTGCGATGACGTGCGCGGCACTGGTGGCGATGGCGGTGCTGGTGACGGCGAGCTCAGCGGCGGCGCAGCTGCGGCCGGCTGACGCGCCCCCTGCCATCAACGACACACGTGAGTGAGTCCTGGACTACTACCATTCTTTAAGAATCAATAGGAGTACAGGAGTAGTGTTTAGTATGTAATGATCGATCGCATTATCTTTAATCTATCGACCTATTAATCTAATAATCTACTACAGATAGAAGTATCCACATATTGTATGAAGCTCGAACTTAGCAAAAAATACAAATAAGTTAACAAATATTGAAAGGTTTACAAAATTACAAAAGAGATCATGGTGATAAAAACAAATCCATCTAGAATCAGAAATTTCTAGGAGATCTATGAAATAGATAATTGCAATAGCTATGTCTGTATATAAAAACATTCGTCAATAATAATTTGCAAAAATAAAAAATGTCTTTCATGAAGATACGAATACATGAACAAATTTTATTGACGGAATATCTTAACTCAACTCTAATAAAATAACATAAATTTTACTTGCCATAACATATCTAAAGTTCAATGCACTATACTAAAACTATACAAAACATTAAAAAAGTACCTAGGTACTATAGAAATAGCAACTCTATTTAGTCCGAGATTAATTTGCACGTCCATCAGCATCGAATTTCTAGACATTCATCGTTGAGACCTGTATAATGGAGAAATGAAATATGAACTAAGGACTAACCCTTGTTATCATTAATCACTTCGAGATTAATTAACCTAAACTACTTAGTAACGATTCACTATAATTTAAAGTGGGTGTATTTCTTAACAATGAGCTTGGTGATTAAGTATTGCTACGGGTCATCGTTTCAGAAAAACGAGAAAATCTATACTTATAATATAACTGAAGTGTCAATTCTTTACATTGAAAATATGAAAAAAAAATTATAGTTGGAGCTGTTACTAGATAGATACCGAACTCAAAAATATGTTAAAAAAAATTATCTGTCTGTCTGTCTGTATGTTCACGCATAAACTAACGGTCCGATTACGGTGAAACTTGGTGTGGTTATACTTTAATGTCCTGGACATAACCCTGAGTACTTTTTATCCCGAAAAATAGCATATGTTACCAGTCCTTATGAATAATATCAAATTAATCACTTTGGTTGTAACATATACTTAGGTACTGATTACTCTCTCTGCATCACCCAAGGGTCAGACTGATAGAAAATACCTGCGGCATTAAGTCCACCCATGTGCTTGTTTGTGTGCATTTAGGTTTTTAAATAAATATAGATGAAAAACTAAACTTAATTGTGCGGCTCAATTCCTGGACACAGTTATTGTACCAAACATAAATATAAATTTGTCGAATGTTAGGTTGCCCTCAGTCAACTTTAGGTACGCTGCTGTAACTGTAGTAAAAAATAAGTCTAACGTTTATATCGTCATTGATAAATTAACATGTTATGATCTTGCGTTACTCCTTTTGTTTCCCAAAGGGGTTAATAGAAGTGCACATTTGCAATGTAGCAGGTAAACCCACTTTCACCAGTTTAACAAAGTTTCTTAACAGTACCTATTTATTACAATCACACTTAATTATTAAATGTATAAACTTAAACTATCAATCAATAAAACTCACGTAGCTACATTAATTGGAAAACGGGCATGTCCTAAAGTGCTAGTTATCGAAACATAAGTAATTAAAAATACGATGAATTGACCATAAACGCAGAGTTTCTCCAACAAATTATAAATTATTATCAATACATCGCTTGTACATGAACCTACTTACCTTAATTGTCGTGCTAAACATGAGGAATTAACACCTTTCATACGAAATAGACTTGTCACGATTGTAGCTCACGCGATGTAGAAGCGAAAGCTTTTTCAGCACTTTTTTTATTCAATCAAATATTTTTTCTTCTTCGGTAATTGATTTGCTGAATATACATTAATTGTACGCGCATTCATTAGTCTTGTTAGTCGAATGATCCCTAAACCGTCATTGCTAGGGGCTTTGATTCTAGAAGTTTGATAAATGTAAAAAGGTTTTTGGATTTTGTTTATTCTTAAACGAGTAGGTACTCAGTACTTACAAGCAGTGACTCTTGAATTGTGCGAAGTGCCAAATGATAAAATCAGCACCTACTACAAAATACAAATGTAAACTAAGCTTATTCAAATGTAAGGACATCTCTGTGTTCTTCTACCAGTGTCAAATGTTATTAGTAACGCACGCACTATGTGTCATAGAAGCATGCATACCTATAGAATAGTATTTCACCAATTGCCAACTGAACATTTCTTTCATTTCTCGCGGAAGATCTCACTTCGAACAATTCTCACACTAACTAGTCAATTGCTGCTGATTGAAGCAAAAATGACGTCACAACAATTTATGGAAGACATTTATCAATTAATAGTGAACTTTCCAAACATTGTGATGTCAGTCGATGGGAACTATAACATTGCAAGAAATGTATTTAACAAGATTTCCAATTTCTTCTTTCTGCGCTATTTTTACACAATCATACAAACAATATCAACGTTCGCATACATTTCATGCTAATATATTACAAATGTAGTTGAACATGTCCAACCAATCAGCGCAGATTTTTTTTCTTTAAGGTTTATCGTATGTTAATGAAGAGAAATATTTAACGCAGTTATTTCTCTGTACTGAAATAAATAACTACATAATGAGTTCGAAAAAGCGTCATAATAAAAAAGATTGAAGTTTTACATATGAAGATTTTTGTGCATAAATTGATTTCTGCGAAATGTGTATCCATTAATCCGCGTATCGCGACTATAGCTGTTCGAAGCGAAACATATAATTTTCGGCTATAAATCGAAAAGCCTCGGCAAAATCAGGACTCCAGGCATCCTTTTAAGCCGAATACTTACCGGCTATATAACTTATAGGTACTATACCTATTCAACGATACGATAATATACTCCTTAGGACCTATTGAGATAGAACTTGAACAATTACACTAAAACCTGTCTGTTTCATTAAAATATAGATAGCTATTTTTAGTAAAGGTCCAATTAACACCTTTAATAATATACAGTCATAATTAAAATCAATAGTATTTCATCACACGCGTATTCACGCGTCAGTCATACAAACAGTCATTCGACTGGCACAGCTGTACTGTACATATTTTTTGATTAATTTCCAATACTGCTTTCACAATAACCGCGTCAGTTCTTAGCTCCTACAACCTCCCACTGAGTCCCACTCACAATACCGAAGTACTCTCTAACCATTAAGTAATCTTTTTGTATGTAGTGTAAACAAATAAAACGATAATAACATTTGTATATCAAACATCAACGTCATTTTATAATACAATCAAAAAACCCAGTCTACCACCAAATTTCTTCATATAAGTATCAACAACGCGAATCTTTCAAACTGCGGACGGACAGGAGATAATTGATTAGGTATGTTCACTAAAATGTCGATATTCAGAAATTGGCTATCATGCAGCGCAGTGGGCAGTGCACAGGAGTCGCATTATGCACGTAATGCTGAACGTAGAGTAAACAAAACACAGTAATGTGTCTACTCGTCCGGTCGGTCCCGTTAATTGAACAGCGCACTAATCGCATATTGCGCGCGCTTTCCCTTTGGAAAGTATCGAAATACGATCCAAATCACTGAAGTTGAATATAAATTGGTTTTCAAAGTCATTGCTTCAGAAACGGCAAATTAAGTGAACCCGTACCGTAAGTTACTTTCGTATAATGTTACCAGTAAGCAGTAAGGCTCTAAACTTTATGCCAAGAGCGAGCTTTAGAGCTTGACATTTAGACGCTGACGAGCTTTGTTTCATTTGTTTCAAAGCAAGCGGTAAACTTTTTAATGTTCCGCCATGTTATAAGTAACCCGCTCGTAAACTTACTTTAATATGCAGATTTATGCGTTTATGTCCTACTTTTCCAACGTAACCAAAAATAATAATATTTTCTTACATAAGTTCCGTATATACCGGTCGATTTTAGCTTATTCGGTCACTGTTGTTATTTCACCCGCTAGAGACATAAATTATAAACATTAATGACTTTTATGGTGATGCAGGAGAGGTGAAATTTTTACATTCACCAGTCTGCATTTGTATGGAGTAGTCGAACGAGCGTGCATCGTCATGAATACATTACGCCCAAACATGGTACCATTTATTAGCATAGATATTCGAAATATTCCAGTCGTAGCTTTGAGTTACGTAGGTCGATGGTGCATAAAAAATGCCTTTGTATCGAAGCATCCAGAAATTAAAAGCACTTTTGAAATCTATGATTGTTTAACGAGTCGAAATCAATATAGTGTAGGCGATAATTAAATGCTGAGATACTAATTGTATTAAAGTTAAGAAGATACATTTAATGTACTTACATCAATATGTAAATAAAGGATACAAACTGATTAAGCTTCAAATAGTTCACGAAGCCATATAAAATGCTCAAAGGAAAATAATACGTCTCTCATTTTTCTATCTTATATACATATATCAGCATAGCATCTTCGTCTGATCTGTTTCTTTGGTATGCTTTTCCGACCACTGAAATTCCTTGCTTCGGGAAAACTTTCCTACCTACAAAATTTCTTTCAATAAACTTCATCTCTTAGATAAAGTTTTCTTTGCTAACTTTGGGACTACTTTAAAAAAACTAAGTCGAATACTCAATCTCGCCAAGTTCTTATACTTGTAAAAATGTTTTAAACCTAAGTTAAATGCAAATTGTACTCGTCATAAAGCAAGGTTCACTGTTCAATCTGGAAAAACTCGAGATTACTTGCTTACTCGATAGGCAGTCAATCTACATGGTGCGACCGTGCAAAATTTTGTGATTTTTTTCTTGGTTCACTGCGCCTGTAATACAAAAAAATTAACAGCTACACGAGAGACTTGTTTTTCATTATTCTAACAATACTTTTATTAGCAAATACTTAGTTATTTTATTTCAGCAAAATAGGCTTTCTAGTAAAAGCATACGACGACGGGCAAAAAATCTGGCACACAAAGTATACTAGCGTCGCTGACTTTTTGTACGCTGTTGCCTCTGTAGTCTGTAGTAAAAGGTTCTTTGTTGCTCCGAAATGTAGTTTTTTGATATTACAATATTCATTTATATACAGCAACGTTCTGAGCCAAAATTTAATGTATGTAGTTAACTAAGAAATAAATTTGTCTGGATTCTAGACCGAAGAACTACCTATGTCTTATATCATACTCTTGTACCGGACGATAAGTTGTACATAACTATGTTAAACTATAATATGGTTCTAGTATATGATATTGTTTTGATGTTGTTGATGATATTGTTTTGTACAGCTCGATTTTTATTTAAGAGGTGTCATGTAAAAATCACTCATTGTTGTGTTTTTCCTAGGCTGTGGTACGGAATGTGTTCGCTGCGCCGCTGATGGATGCGTCAAGTGCGCTCGCCTGCTGGTTTGGCCTGGAGGTACCTGTGCACATGACTGTCCTGCTGGCAGCCGTGAAGCATGGGCCCATGATGACCACCTCATGGGACGAGTGTGCTATCCTGCGCAATCATATAACGAGGTAAGTTTTTCTTTATGGAACCCAACGAATGAATCACAGAACTATGAATAGCATTTTAAAGCTTAATAACCTTATACTACTCACAATTTAAACACAAGCTACATAAATAAGCAAGTTAATATGATGGAGCCTAAACTGCTGCCCTGTGGCATTCCAAAACAATAAAACACATTGCTAAACATTACCAATATTTGTTTTTAGTGCAAGTCAAAATAACTTTTAATATGGTACTTATAGACATAAAATTATTATATTCTCTGACTTTAATGATGAACATCATACATCAAAGCATTAGTCTACTCAATCAAATGCCAATACAAAATCAAAGTTCAACGCCTCACAGATTAAAACACTATGATGCAACAGCTTTAATGCGCGCTACAGATGTGGTCCGTATGGAAGATACACATAACGTAATCATATAAAATTATCATCATCCAAGCGATGTATGTACTATATTTTGTAGCTGTGAAGCATCGAACATCAGAACTTTGATGGTATCAGCAAATTGGAACAATTATTTTTAACATTATTTTTAATGGTAAGTTGGAAATATTGTTTCAGTTGATTTCAGTTATATTACAAATATAACTGTTCATTTTACTTCAATAGGGACGGACGATTAGCATACATAGCATACGATTAGCATGGACTAAATACCTGAAAAAGTACCGTAGATTATAAAATAAAAAATAAAATGGATTGTTTTTCACGAATGAACAAAAGCATTAGTCGCATGACGTATAATTAATTGATAGGGTTAGTAGGGTTTTGACTTGAAAGGACAGCTTTGCAGTCAACAACGTACAAAGGAACCCTAGCATAGAAACACGTAAGTTCACAATGAATATAAATATTAAATGAATCTATTGTAGTAGCAGGTGCTATTACGGCCAGTAGCGTCAATTGAACGTAACTAACTTGTACATAATATAAGATCAACACCTTATTTCTTTTACTAGACTAGTTGCTGAGGAAATTGCCTCATATTTTTACGTTACTTTTACTTTTAGCGTTTAGTAAAATTGCTTTGTCCTTAAAATACTTATTGGTATTACAATACCTAATGCAAACGTAAAAAGGAGATCAATATAAGATTAAACTTGTTTCTTATTCTCAGTCAATTTCACACTAAACTCACAAAATGTTCTAGTAAAATTTGATTTTATTCGGTTCCCATAAATTTTGCAACCCCTAGGTACTTACATGCACGTAGTTTGACCTCGACTCCTTTTTTTTTTTTTTTTTTTTTTTTTTTTTGAGGGGGGAAAATCATCCAATGACTTCTCCCGCCCGGGTGAGGCGGGAGGGAGTGTCAGACTCTTACTGACTAAAAACCACCCCGTTCCTACTCCTGCACTTCGAGCCGGAGCCCCGGCAACCCGTTAAGTCTTCCGCGGCTCCGTATCGGCATCAGCCCTGTTAGGCCCCATCTGTGGTGGTCTGATGGCTCCTTGAGGCGCGCGCGGAACGCGACGCGCCGTACGCTCGGGCCTGGTTCTGGTCGGGCGGCGAGTCACCCGTGCTCGCCGTCCGCAGGCCCGTGCTTACGGTGGCCGGAGATCGTCTCGCGATCCCCGACGCCCGGAGTGTCTCTCGCGACGGCCGGGTCGTGAGGAGGTTCGTTCCCTCACGCGCTCCGCCTCCTCCTTAGCCAGCATGACTGCTTCGCAGAAGGAGGAGACGGCATCCCAGTGCCCCTCGCTCCGTACCATGGTCTGAACCAGAGCCGGACGCGAGAGGTCGCCGTCGCCGATCACATTCCTGAGGACACGGCGGTGCTCAGTCCACGCAGGACACAGCTCAGTCCACGCAGGACACATGACCTCGACTCCTGCCAACTACTTTAATACTTGAAAGGTCCCGACCGAGCTATTGGCAAATTGTTGATGTGAGGGATCAACTAGACAATTGGTGTCGACATGCTAAGCTTGTATTATGCCGTTGTCGTGCGCACGATTTTCGACTAAACCGAAATGTATCGGAGCCATAAATACTACCTTAATAAAGTTGTCAAAATTTAATATGGTATTATTTCCTGAGTTGTACACTTATTGCGAAACTAAATAGTTTGCATGACATTCCTCTGCATTTATTCATTTCCTTCCTGGAAGAGAAAGCCTCTATCGACTAGTACCTAGCTGGTCGAATCTACATCCATTTTTTTCATCAGATCTTCATCTTTTTTTTATTTACCAGGTGATAGTGGGCGCTGCTTGCGGCGTGGCTGCTTGCATTGCTCTCGTGGCAGCCGCAGCAGCCTATGCTCGCTGTAGGACTAAGTCGCGAGCACAACCTCAACCTTTACCGCAACGAACTCACCACGACGACGACACTCGACTCCGGGAATTCCACAAGCAGCTGGACTGCTTACGAGTAAGTTAATCCATAACTAAAATTAAACTATGCATCTCAAAAAATAAAGTTATTTTTCTAATGATGGAACTAGATAAGGTACTTACATCAAGTTTAGTTAATTAAATTCAAACCAAAATAAACCCAAGATAGAACCGTAGAGGCCTCATTTCGAAATAACTCAGGTAAATGTATAAATAATAGAATCGAGGGATTGAAAAAAGTAAATCTCATTTAAAAAACAAGATTATAAAAGTGAGAACAACTTTGTAACGTGGTTTGATATTTGAATATAAATCACTGTCGTTATGTTAAACTCATCTGGACCAATTAAAAAGTAGTTTACACAAATAACTCCGGCATAATTGCTTTTCTAAAGTTGTAACGAAATCTAGAGCTTTTGATTCAATCTATTTTACATTTATTTTTATCTCATGAAATTAAATTCTATATTTTTATCGCAATTTGATCTTAAACCAAAACATACTATCAAACTAAAATTGTTGTGTCTACTTAAATATCAATCACCACATCTCCACACGCCGATCTGTAAAGCAAAATAAAAAATAAACGTTTTTTTTATTAAATTTTTATGTTGTCCACATAAAAGTTAAACGAAACTCCTTATTTACAAATACTTCGAAAACAGTACAGTATGATATAAAAGTTGATATTTAATACAAATTAATTATTAAGCAATAATAAGCGACAGATTGCAGTAATCTGTTACGAAACGATGATCCGAAATTGGATATGGACTTCCGAATTATCGAATTACATAATCGTTATGACAGTTACAGAAGCAATCATTAGATAAAAAGATAATGTACTGTGTTAAGAAATCGGGAGATTTATCGACATGAACACATTTTGATCGCGCGTTGTCTTGAGAGCATACATTTCTTCTATATTATTTCCTCACTTGATCTAGATGAGAATTACAAATGCATTATGGAATGCTAAAAAATATTTTAGCATTCCATAATGCATACTCCCACGACGTACATGAAGGGAAAGTATTGGAAAATCAGTCTCGTACAAATATGTATAATTTTTTAGTGTACCTATTACTTAGGTGTGTGGAACACAATTTGTAGGTACATTTTTAACGAAATATCACTCGTCTTAACTGTTTAGACAGCCAAAACCAAAACCATTATAATTATAAATAACGGGCAAAAAATAAGATAGCCGTCATCAATACATAGTATAAAACAAAGTCGCTTTCGCTGTATGTCCGTATGTATGCTTAGATCTTTAAAACTACGCAACGGATTTTGATGCGGTTTTTTTTAATAGATAGAGTGATTCTTAAGGAAGGTTTATATGTATGATACATGCATATTGCACCCGTGCGAAGCCGGGGCGGGTCGCTAGTTTTTTATAAAAAAAAACTGTGTCAATTATTAGTTGCTAACTTTTACCACGGCTTTGCCCGCGTATTCCTGTTTTATCCCATGGGAGCATTTAATCGGACCACTATACCCCATACCCTGCCTGTATACCAAATTTTATCAAAATCCAATCAGTAGTTTCAGCGTGATTGACGAACAAACATACAAACAAAGAAACGTTTACCTACATTTATAATATTAGTGAGATCATGGATTATTAACACGCTGTTGTGTTTATGGTCTGATGATGATTTTTTATTTCAAGTTATAATTTCTTGTTTAAAAATTTCATGATAGTAAAATATAACATGAATTCTATTTCTGATTCCAGCCGCACGCGTACACCTTGTTGGCGATACTGAACCATACACGGCATCAAGTGCGCGAGCTTTATCAGCTTGGCAACAATGATGCTGCAATGGCTTACAGGTATAGTTTCTCTTATCAGTTTTATTGCATTTCTGGAACATTTTCTTTCGATTGAATTGTTTTTGATTCTGTAAAATTAGGTACTGCTTTGGGTCTTTTTATATTTCTGTACCTAAATACCTACTTCCAATATATTATTATATGAGATATTCATAACGTTTATAGAAAAAAATTAGATCCTTAAACGCATTTTCTGCAAACCTGGAGTTTATTCAATTCCAACCAATTGAAATATTAATATAATTTGTCATATACTATACCTATACCAAGAACTACAGTTTAAAAATAGAGATAATTTCTATCCGTAAATTTCCAGTTGCACAGTCGATAAGCATAAGATAAACAAAGATCTGCGTGGGAACATTTCTGTGCTGCATTTCGTCTGAAACGTTATCAATGCTGCAATGTTGCTAGTTAAAACAGGTAAAGGTACGAAGAGTACTTGCCTATAAAGAGGTTACAAGACTTGCAACAGTGTTCTAATAACATAGCGAGCAGCGAGCGGCTCTGTTGACAGAGCTACCAATTTAACCTACAAAAAACACATTCCAAACAGTGCCTCGACGCTGCAACGTATTATTTACGTTAGAAATTCGAGATAGTAAGTTCTAATAATAGCTCCTGTTACAGTTGCATCCTGAGCGATTTGGCCAAGTTGCTGATATTGTTGAACAAGCAGCAGGTGCCTGTTGTGCCGGATGAGTGGCCACGATTGGCTAGTTGGGCTGAAAGGTAAATTTTGTTTTTTTCTTATAATAGTCTATCTAAGTCTCGTTTTTTTTTTCTATTTAAATATTTTTGTTCCAGAATTCTGAAACGCTACAGCCGCACAAACGTCGGTCCGCAACAAGAAGGCCAGCTAGTTAATTTCCTCCCCGCCCCACCGAGCCAGGGCTCCGACTCGGAGACAACCCAGCAATCTTTTTCGACATTCAAGCCACCTTCGTATTCTCCTACATCATATGATAGTAATATTTTAGACAAGGACATAGACTGCGAATGGAGTGACGCTGGAAGACCACCCAGCTATTCCCAAGTAGAGAGAGAACGAGAGACCATTGTCCTCTCCGACCCATGGGAGAGAAGACCGATTGTAAGAAGAGAGAGTGTATGGTTAGAAGACGAATTCTTCGAAATGTCGAGGCGACCACAAGACGAACTAACCACTGAACTTTAAACACATAATTTAATGCACCTGGTTCACCATTCCAAGTCTGACAAGTACAAAATAAAAGATAATTAATCTATATTTAATATATCTAGGTACTTTAAGTTTGTAGTGGTGCTTTCAACCCTGTAAATATGTACCTTATTCATCATAAAAGCATGTCTCGTAGAAAAAACGTGTACCTAAACACCAAATTAGGTCTCGTCACTGAAGCAATAAAATGAAATAAAATTATTGTCAGATTTTTTATAACTAGAATTTATTTAAATAAGAACTAAGCAATTTGTATTATGCTTTAAGTAGATTATGCAGAAATAACAACTATGTTTAGACAGATTTAAACCAAAGTAGATTGTATAATAGTTTTCTAGTCTAATAAATTCGATATGATTTGCATATTCATTGCAAAATGTATGTCTGTATCTTTGGCAACATTTTTTAGAATCTCATACCGTATTTAAATTGTATATTAATGTAATTAAAACTGTTACATTTATACAACATAATGTATATTTCAACATAAGTTTCCATAGTAGTTTAATGTAGATACACTACATGTAGTTTAAGTAGAAGTGGAATCTTTACCTCGACTGTTATAGGCCTTTAGTGATACCTAATATCTAGTTACAAGTTGCTTAGGTATCCGAGCCCTATCAAACGAGAAGACCTTCAGAAACAGTAGGTACAGCACTTACGATAATCTAAAGCGAAAAAGGAATAGGTGGTTGGTAGATAGGTACTTTGAACTTTAAATTCGAATTAACGGTTTTTTCCTATTTAGATCTTGAAAATTAGTGTGTCTGCGTATCGTATTGTTGGTTAATTTATATCGATATTTACTACCTATGATTTTTTTAAATATGGAGATAAAATAAGTATCTACCTACTATTTATATTCTTATAAGACAATTATATAGAGTAAGTTCTGTACCTATACTTCTTACAGTGATAATCAATTCTAAAATTCGGTAATTTTCCGCAGACATTAAATGCACAAGAAATACACTTGTAAGTAGGTTATTAGCACAAAGTTATAACCACTCCTTTCATTTAAGAAAATACATTGTACTATTATATCTGTGTGCCGACAGACCAATGGGCACTTACCTATCTTTATAGTAGACAGTTAAGTCATCAAAAGTGTAAATAATAAATTAACAAAATTAATACATAAGTTTAAAATAATGTCATAAAGACAACGAAAATACCTATTTGTTAATGTAATCTAGAATACTTTTATGATTGTTAAATTAATAAAGATGAATATATTTTTGTTCACAGTTATTTTTTTGTTAATATCATTAAACGTAACAACACCATACCTTAGGTGGCTGTAGATTTTTTCCCGCTAACACTCTGAAATGCGCTTTGAGTATTAGGTATTTTATTTAAAATTGTCGTCATGTCAATAAATAAATTATCATGCTACTTAATAGTGATTAAATAGTTTCGTATCGTGCCTGTTATACAGTAAAAGTTATACTCAAATTAATCAGCCACAGACTCAGTGCTAACACCGAGAATTTCGAATATCTAATCTAAATCCTGGACTATCTACCCACATTGCTTGAACCGAGAATAGAATCGCTGAACGCTTTAAAATTGTATGTAATGTGAGGAAAGAATATTAATAAAACTAATATCCCTTAAGACTGTATAATGTAACAGAGACCATTATTTTTAGAGGTATTAATCATGCAGCTTCTATTGTATGAAGACTACAATCCAAGATAAACGAAAGCTCCATCTAGCGTAATATGATACGAATTAGAATCTCATTATAATGGCAATACAGAAAAGCAACTAGCTAACAAACATTTTATTAAATGGTTAATAATAATAATACACTTTATTCAGGCAACTATTTTGATCATTAAAGAAAAAAACTTAATTATAACATGTTTATGCTGAAAAAAACTACCTACCGGGAATTCGGGAAGGAAGGCATAAACACTTGAACAGTGTTGAGTTGACGAACTGGCTTGCCGTCATATCTAGTTATAGGAATAAAGAAAACTTTTTTTAAAGAAACGACAGGATAACTAACCTAAAAAAGAGAATATTTTTTTGACCTCGTTCAATCATATTTCTTACATTGGCAACATAGTTATATAGTGTCAAAGAAAGTGTCAAATGTCAAAACTACCATAAAACTGCAAATGCCAAGATTTGTCGCTGTAGTTTCGTAAATTCAGTCAATCGTTTATTTAATAAATTAAATAAATAAGTAAATGTGCTATTCACGTGAGTGAAGTGAATTGTGAATTTAAATCAGTTAACTCCAGAATTTTTCGAAATTTTGTTTACGACACCAGCTGTTAATAATTAAATTACTGAAAATGTAGCGCAAAAAATATATAACGGTAAGTTACAAATATAGCTTAAATAGTAGAATATAAGAGCCGCATAACGGGGCTGTCGGTCTATATAAATTTGGAGGTGACCTTTATAAATGTCTGTTATTGTTAGGAGGTGCATAAAGAAGTTATAAATATTGTTCCGAAAATGATATTTCATAACAAGTAACTTGTTGACATACAGCTGATCAAACATTCTTTGTTCGAAGTATTGAAGAGCTTATCAGTTATGGAAATATTATTACGATTTCAGGTCTTTAAATACACATGAGTTTTGATTTCATTGAAATCTTCCTACAACAATCTGCTAACCAAAAGACAAATGGTGAGTACAGTTTAATAACCCACTAATAGCAATCCAATCTGAATAAATATACAAGAATCATTAGTAATCTATTAAGTAAATTTATTTTAATGAAACTGTGAAGGTATGATTAAATACTATCTCATTCATCTTAACTATCATTAAGGTATATCAATTGAACAAAATTAATGATTTATTGGAGAAAGCCATCTGTCTGCAAGGCCTTTATGAATTCATGATTCTTGTTCCTGCATTCTACACTTCGTGTTATTAATACTAAAATATTCAGAAAACACATTTCAACAAAAAAAAACAATTTTCCTTAATACCTACCATTTTAAAAATGTTAAATATAATTTTATTTAAAAACACCTATTATCCTTAAGTCTTAATATTTTAAATACCTGTTCAAATGTTCAATATTGACAGGTAACTGTTACCTCATTATTTATATTAATCTAATCACATGACTGATCGATAGGGTGATTTACTATAAAAATATTGCTATTCACTATAAATCACACTAAAATAAATTCCATGTCTTAAGTTTATTTTATGACTTTTAAACTGAAAAAAACATCTATGTTGAATTTGTCATTTAACTGTGAATTCTTATTAGACCATTGGAGGTTTTTATCCAATAGTATTTGTTCCACCGATTACTCCTTTAAAATTTATACAAGAATACTCAAAATGTGTTCATATGGTCAAACTATTCAAATTAGGAAATAACTGTTAATAAATTGTATATAAAAATTATAGTCTATAATGTTTTTTTGCAGTGTTCAAGTACAAATAAAGTGAATATATTTGAAATCTCCTATCTCTCTGTTCATCATGAAGCAGCTAGCAGCTTGGTAAGTTGTATTACAAATTATTACTCTTTTCAACTGTGGGCCACATTATTTCTTATTTTTCAATTTTTAGTTAATCAATACTTTTCACTTTAGAATTGAACATCTTAACAATCTTCAAATCCCTAACACCCATTTGGCGGGTAACACACTTGTAACACCTCTAGTGTTTTGGACGTTCATGCACGGCTCTGACTGCTTACCATCCGGTGATTTACCAACTTATTCTACAAAAAAAATTAGTTAACAATTGCTAGAATTTTGTTTCTTGTTGAGCTAGCCTCTAAGAACTGTTTCCTCAATGGATAAGAATGAAGTATGGATACATCCTTTACCACATTAAAAACCTATTCATTTTAAATTAAAGGAAAATAGATTTATAACAAACTCATTGATAAAAGCACAAGCAACTATTCAGTTGGGTTTTTTTGAGATTCAGATTTTTAGTCTAATTATATTTAGTATACAAACAAAAAAGACACGTTTTTCCTTATATTTTGCCTACTCATACATACAATTTTATCTTTGTACCTACAAAAAATAATTGTGTTAATAAAAAGCTGCAAACAGTTCCTAGAATTTTTTATTAGGTAGTTAAGTGGATTAGTTATCAAATAGTGATGAGTCAAGTACGGACAATATGTTTTAGGTGTTTAAAATAATCATTTTAAATGTTACTTTCTGTGCACTATGAACATTTCTTCAAAATGTTCTGATTTGTTTATTTTATCTTACGTCGAATGGTCTTAAATGCGATTACCGAGCCATCACACCACTACAGATGGGGCCTAATAGGGCTGATGCCGACACGGAGCCGTGGAAGACTTAACGGGTCCCGGGGCTCCGGCTCGAAGAGTAGGAACGGGGTGGTTTTTAATTAGTAAGAGTCTGACAACCCCTTTCGCTTCACACAGGCGGGAGTATACATTGGAGGATCACCCCGACCTCAAAAAAAATTTTGCAATTAATTCCCGTGCAGGCAAGATATACGATAGTTTATATTTCCCATGTGCTAATAAAAAACACCTTTGTACTTGACACTGAATGGGCGAAATATGGGTGTTGCATATCTACCTTCGTGATGCGTGATATCATTGTTATTGTACAATCTAAACAGCCATGTTTGTTTGTTTTGTCATTTATGTAACGGAAGTTAATAACTGATTAATTGAAGATAAACTTGACTATCAGTTATAAATCCTCGTAATGTATTGTTAATGTCCGTTTATTTGAATGTTTTGTCTTATCAATGTCGTTTACAGTTGCAATTTTTATCATTGACTTATTGTGCGAATGTTAAAACGTGACAAGAAAAGAGACGGGCCTCTAAGTTTGTTTCGGCATTTCTTCTCGGAGTACCTACTCGGTTAGGAAATGTCGACCTCATCGTTCGCTTGATAAAATTGACGTGTAAAAGTGCTGCCTTGTAGCCTATTTGCAGAAATAAATTTACTTGTTTCACTTGTGTCAAGACAATATTTTACATAACTGTCCATGGACTTAACTACAAGATATAGATTTTGGCGCATTTTGTATTTCTTATCTGAATCTTCTATCGCGTCGGATAGGTTATTGAGTGAGACTGACTAAAAGAGGAACACGATAACGTTCTTCTTCATGTCATGGCATAAGGCCAAGCTACTTGAGGTCGGCCCCTAACTTATAGAACTTGTTGAATTCAAATATATTTTGCCAACAGGTATCAGAAAAAAATAAGTTCGTACGACAAGGAAGAATGGGAGACGATGGTGGAACAGCTGCTGATGCGCGGCACCTACCGCCGGCGCATCGTCGACTTCTCATCGCACGCGCGCTCCTACCTCATCGATGTTGACTTAGTTAGAGGTACTATATTTACTTGTTAATTGTTAAATTCCTTAATTTTGTTACTACCGTTAGAGACATAATAGAAAATACATTGTGTCTCGTTTGAATCAGCGTTCCAACGGTCTATGTTTAGACACCGTAAAGATGTGAAAATTTCACCGTGCTCTACATTAGGTGTGAACGTGAACTGCAACTTTCTACCCAATAAATTATTTGCAATTCCTATTCGAAACTAAGTTCTAAATATGTACAATCGCTAGAATTACCAATTTTGTGAGTTATTTGCCATAAAAATTGTCATAACTTTCATCTACGAAAAATGTCTCCCATAGTAAGATCAAAGGAATAGGTAGCTAATGCTGGAGTGTGAGTTTCTTTTGCCCTAGTTTTATCAAATAGGGGACCATACTTATTATACCTAAGTAGACAATTTTCTTATTTCGTTCACAGGGTCATCATTCCCAAAAGCAAAGCCGACATTGAGTATGCGTCGCGTGATATGGTACGCTCTAGTCCGACTATTGTTCCTACCAGTTCTATACCAATGGTGGACGCAACAAACCTCACCAGCCTGCGCCAAGTTCCTCCTCACTCTCTGGCTCATGCAAGTCCTCAACATCACCATATACTTCATGACACCAGAGACCATTGACAATGACGTAAGTTACATTGCATTTTAAACATTAAACTACTTATTTTAAAGCTCAATTTCACTTGTATTCTAAATGATTAGTCCTATAATAGCTACTGACATGGTAATGTGGGTTGAAAACACAATGGGTCGATTCTAAAATTAACTAGGTACAATAATAATATTGTTAAGGTGCACGCCGCGCTTTTTATGGAATACAACTATTGTAATGTAACATTATTTATACATTCCGATGGAAATGCGTCATGGTTTAGTAAGTTGTGATAAGAAATAAAAATCAGAAATACATATTGTGGCTTATATTTAGTTTTATTTTTTTTTAATGACCGTCTGGTAGATTATGTTAAACCATTACCATTACACCTATTTCTTCTTTTCTTTCAAAGTTCTACTTTCGACGATATATATATCTGATTTGAAATATCGTGAGACGTTACGAGTTGCTACATTTTATAGGAACGTGTGACGTAGCGACCACCCACTCCTAAACGTAAATCTGTTTTATCTAAGTCTTGTTTTCTTGTATGACAAAATAAATAAATCATCATCAACAGCCTATAAATGCTGAGCAAAGCCTCTTCTCACAAGGAGAAGGTTTGAGCATCAATCACCACGCTTGCTCAATGCGGGTTGGCGATTACAAACTTATAATAAAATTAGAAATTATAAGCTCTGGTTTCCTCACAATGTTTTCCTTCACCGTTTGTCAGTGGTGTTTGTCAGTGGTGTCTATCTAGATAATCTTAAAATAAATAAATACGTATCTAATATTTTCATTATCTTACTGACGAACGACGAACTTTTTATTTTTCATACCCTGTCAATTACCTAATTTTACATTTCAATTTACCTATACCTACTACTAAAAATTGTTCAAATTGAATAGGTACAACAGCTTGTGCACAAAATTTCGTAATCTTTATTAAAAATTACGTTGCCGGAAATCACACGTGCAAATGATTCCAGTTGGTCCATTTGATACACTATTTTACTGTGTCGTTTATTTATAAAACATTTTGTTTGCAGCCGAACTGTTGGTTAGTGCCTCTGGGTTTGATGTTGGTGCTTAGTATTGTGCACTCACAGATAGTTAGTACAACTGAAATGGAACTGGCTCGCGTGAGGCCACGGGCAACATTCCGACGCAAATTACCGAGATATTTCAGGTAAATTAGACCTTATTTATGTGGGGATAGAAATTATTTTCGGACTATTGTATTTACTAATACATATGTATGGTTTTTTTCACTGAATAGGCGAACTAGATCAGATTGCGATGGTGGTAGCGGTGGCGGTTCTGCCGAAAGTGGCGCCACCTCGAGTCAGAGCAAGACGCCCACTTCTAAACCTGCAAAGTTTCGACGGAGACAATCGCGCACCGAAATCGCTGAAAATGGTCTCAGGTTGGCGTTGATTTCATTATTTTACCTCTAAATTATTTTCTAAATATTTTAGGTACTAATAAATACAGAGATAATCTTTGAATTTTCAGAAAACGTAAAAAGGAACTGACAAAAGAGAATCTGATAAAAAATTTAGAGCCAGTTAAAAATAAAACAATAGTGAAAATGAAGGCTAAAGACTCGGATGATGAAGACTATATGGTTTGGAAGAAGCCTGATGCCACGGCACCTATCGTGACGTTCACGCCGCCGCCAGAAGACGCTACGCCTAGCACTTCCTTCCGATACAAACATAACGCGCTAACTAAGAAACAACTAGAATCGTTCAATGTGAGACAGAACCAACAAATGCTAGCTAGAGTCCTAGCCGACGGAGACGATGGCTTCGAAAGCCTGAACGGGTACAATTCCAACGGCAGCGAAGGTGAAAGAGTTAAACATGAGACTGAAAACTTAATCCAAAGAGAAGCTAAGAGAACTAACGCTAACGAACAAAATATCGAACCTAAAGAGAACAATAGTCCTGATAAATCAACTGAGACTTCTACTGAGACTGTTAAAAATGAAGACGTAATAAAAGACAATGATGAGACTGGAGACATGAAGAAGGTCGATGATAAGTCTGATGCGGATTCTGATGGTATTGCTGCTACAAGTAGTCCTAGTACCGGCAAACGAGTTGGAGTACGATTCAGGAACTCCTGGGCTCAAGACGGCATACGTCTACAAGAAACGAGCGATGAAGATTTCACCGTCCATAAGAAGAAGGAAAAGGTAATTTTTATTTAGTTCTCTCTCTTTCTGCATGCCGCCATTTTTAATTTCGTGAAAATCTTAAAAATACTTATGTTTATTAACTTATCCAATCTTTTAACATTAGGTGATAGATGGAAGCAATTTACAGCACGCGAAAAAAGGTAGTTATCGGCTTTTAAGGCTGGCAGCATGTTTCTAACAAGATACACTAATATCGACTCTAAGTATTGTATGTAACGATTTTCATTGTGTAATTTTCCAAATGATTTTAAAATGAATGTGTTTTTAATTATGAATTTTGAGATTGAGATGATTGCTTTTAGTGTGCCTGTTTATTTGGTATGCAGGTAAGAAAATAAAGATTGGCTCAGTGCGAGACAGTAGCTATAATAATATGGTTCTTAAAGAAGCCATATCTGTTGTAACCATTGTTTGGCTGCTAAGCGAACATAGTAGCCAAGCCAATGGTTACTGTCTCTACTGAATTATTGTTTTTGTACCTGCGTGTCAAATAATTGGGTTGACTGGCAGTCTCAATAAGTATGTCTGTAGATTTGACTACAAGAGATACAATTTTGAATTGTTTGACGATAGCTTTTGTCAAAAATCGATCTCTAGTAGCCAAATCTACGGACAGATAGGTCACTGAGAATGACTGTAACTTATATTGTGTTTAATTTATTCGATGATCGTTTTCGCCAAATGATTTAATTTCTATATGAATTTTCGTAGAAATTTGACAATTACCAGTCATCTTCATCAGACGGGGAATGCTCGGCGTCCGCTCCATCCATCGCCCTACCATCCCACCATACCATGTCCGATTGGGTTGGCCAAACTACTAACAGTAAGCATCAATTATGTATGTTAACTATCAATGTTTATGAATACTAATTTTGTACACATATTTGTTACTGATTTGCTTGATTTTATAAATTGAAAATGCAAGTATTAGTATTTTTATTATCACTGTCGGTCTGTATTCTTATTGGTTATGTTTCCTGTAAATTAATCAAATGGAGATATCTTTTATACAAGTCGTTCACTTACAATAACAGACACGACAAAAAGGTGCACTTATGTGCCTATATACCATAACACATATCCATATAGGTACATACATACATATATGTTAGAAAGTCCAGCAAATTACAAGCATGTTATAATACTTATACATTTATCATCATGTATTAATAAACGATATTCTCATATGTATTGCATGCATTGACAGGTGAGGAAAGTAGTTACGGTTCCCAGTCGGAAGGCGGGCATTCAGATGTTGGGTTTTCTTATACGGCTGACAGTTCCTGGGACCCTTTCGCTATACTCGACCCGACTAGTGATACAGGTATTTATTCTACTGTTTTGACATGTCACTGACTCAATGTAATACATATTTTTACTTACATTTTAATCTTCAAAGCTTTAGGCAAACGCAAGCCTTCAATAGATTTTCAATCTTAATCATGATGTGATAAGGTTGAATTTGCGTTGGAGTGTAACAGATTAAAATAGGTTTATAGTTATGATATCGTGACATCATTATTATCATGTTCGCTACCCGACGGCTAGTACTGAATATCTATCTAACATTGAAACTTGCAAATTGAACATTTGCAACTTTATTGCTTTTCATTAAAATTGAGAATCAAGTAGTTTGTGCTTTTTTTTTCTATAGTAAAATGTACGATGTGGGAGCGTGGTTCAACCCTTCGCGCAGAGTTATCAGCTGTGGACATAAGTTGGTACGTGGTGGCGCGCGCCGAGCGAGCCATGGCGGCCGACGGGTGTCTATGGGCCGGACTCGCTATGGCTGCCGCAGTAGCACTCGTTAAACCTATCATACGGTTTGCTCAGGTAATTATTGTTATTAATGTAGCTGTTCTCCCTGTGGTAGTGTTCTGTGGTACATCTGATCTGATCTCAAACCTGTCTGTTAGAAACAGGAACAAAAAAGTAACATTTTTGCTGTTGACACTGAGATTCAACCGTGCATTTAACATGGCCAGCATACTTGAAGGTTATAAGATTCATACTCAGCGTGCCAACAACACCTATGGCAAACGAACTACCGGTTATATTGTACCCAGACTTATTAATAATAAGCCCTCAGAAACAAAAAATAATATTACGCAAAAGATCATAAAATGTAAACTAAAACAATATTACATAAGTGTTATTTAGGAATGTGTTTGTTTGTCCTAGGTTGTTTAAATTGTTGGCGTCATGAACGTGTATATTTGTAAAAACTCATTTTATAAAAATTCGATTTCGAGACTGATTCATGAAAGCACAAGTTTAGTGGATTTTGGTTGCTATTTGATATTGATAATCCTGTACTTATTGTAAATACGTTAAATTTATAAAAAAAGAAAAAATATTAATTTTAACCGATTTTTGAAAAAAGTAGGTGCGCAATTTGTGTGTGACTATCTCGCGATTGGCTCAACCGATTTTGATATGGTTTTCAGAAGTGTTTCTTATACTTAAGAGAAGGTTTTAGTGTATTAATTAATCAGCTTCAAAACAGAGGGGGTTGGAAAGAACTGTTTTTGTAACATATAACTAAAAGTTTAACTTATTTGTGCCTAGGTGGCTGCGGAACTGGACAATAGAACAGAAGAGGAACTGCAGGCGCTCTCCGTGATCACTTACTTCCCGACGCTAGTGGCCAACTACAAGGGATCGCTACTTTCCATATTCATCGGAGCCTTTGGTGACAATATTTGGTAAGTAAAACCTTTTTGTTTGCCTAGACCAAAATTCGGTAATTAAATAGACCAAATAGGTATTTACGATATCATTATCGAGTTCACAAATATATATTTTGATTAAATATTATATTTGATGTGCTCAAAGACCTCTATATATTATTTGTTTTTATTAAGTAATACACATGAATCTGAATGTACATTAGTATTTATAAACGAACACATAATCTGTACATGTCTCTTGTTTTTTGCGTGTGAAATAAAGTTTTTTTCTTTCTTTCTTTGAACCAGGGTGGTATCAACGAACGTGTTGTCCTGTATGCTGCGTTTCGCGCTGGGAGCGCTCGTGTTCTTCCTGCTGGCCGTGGCGGAGCGAGCATTCAAGCAACGGTTCCTATACGCCAAGTTGTTCTCACATCTCACTTCAGCACGACGAGCCCGCAAATCTGAACTACCACATTTCAGACTTAATACTGTAAGGAATATCAAGACGTGGCTGTCTACACGATCTTATTTGCGAGTGAGTATCTTATACTACTCTTTTTTATAATGGGACAAACCTCCGAAAAGCTGACATTTTCGGGAGATAACTAGGGATCGTAGTATTCTTACCTCACTAAAATAACACCGGTGGTCGCCATTTGCAGCTCAGTATAACCGCGTTTACTTGTTACAACACTGTTATAAAATAATTTGCCTTGAATTGACTTGACTTGAATTAGTATTTTGACAAAGTTACAACCTCGCTACGTAAAGCACACAGCTAAATATGGTATAAAATTACTAATTAAATTATATCTGTATGTTACAGCGCCGTGGGCCCCAGCGTTCTGTGGAAGTGATCGTATCAGCCGCCTTCATGCTCATTGTAGTGTTACTGGGTTGTGTTAGCACACATCTGCTAAGGGTAAGTCCTCCTTGGCTTTATACTCGCTATATCTGACCTGCACTATTATATATGTTGCGGTTAACACGTTCACGGTAACGGTTTCCATGTTCACAAAATTAACTTTAATATTGATATGTTTGAAAGCCGTTTTAGTTTTTAATTACACAGAAATAGATTACGGGCTACAGCACAATTCATCTTACCATTTCGATATAAACACACGTCTAAAAGCTTTATTCTTAGGAAGATCATAGATCATAGATTTGCAGCATAAGCACGTTTTGAAGGTAGCATTTTACGCACGCTATGCCAAATAAAGAACACAATTACATGTCACAAAAATATCACTTTCATTTCCACCTACCACCGACGGTGACGTTAACTAGCTTCATTTTTCACACCATAGATCACAAGTCACTGTGTGTTAGTGGAAGTTCAGTAAATTAATAAGATTAATAATAGTGTAATAATACTCAGGACTCAGTGACGTTAGAGAGCGGCTGGCTACTGGAAGTGCTACTATGGAGCTTCTGCATCGGCATATATTTGCTACGACTTGGCACTTTGGGTAGCAATGTAAACAAAAAATACCGCGGCTGTCTCTCCGCCATACTTACTGAACAGATCAACCTCCATCTTGCCATAGAACAGAGGCCAGAAAGCAAAGAACAACTCACTGTCGCAAACAACGTGCTTAAATTGGCTGCTGATCTACTGAAGGTAATCATTAATACACATTTTTTAATTACATTAATTTAAAGACACTTATAACTCGTTAGAATAATATATGCTACTTATATATCTTACCTACTCATATCTACTATATAAAAATACGTCGGGTTTTCCTTCCTAACGCTGTAACTCCAGAGCGCACGAACCGATATACACGGTTTTGCATTCGTTGGAAAGGTCTCGGGCCCCGTGAGGTTTATAGCAAAGCAAATTCAGGAAAAAGAGTTTTCTTCATCTTTTAATCACCAAACGAAATGTTACATAAAACGAAGCCACCTGGTGGCGAAACGGAGTTCGCCGGGTTTGTTAGTGTAAACATAAATGTCTAATTGTGTAATGTATCTTTCATTATGATGAAGGAATAGGAATAGTAACATTAATAGGAACTAGGAATGGGTACACAACCGATTCCGATTAAAGAAAAAATACAATGAAGACAAAATAAACAACACTTATGATTTATTTTCTTTACAATCCATAATTATGGAGCGTTTATTTGAATAGGTTCCACGAATCAGTGTCTCTCCGTCCCAAGTAAGAAGAACAAAATGATAAAGCACAGTATATTGATACCACGAACATAACTGACTCATTATAATCATCTGTGGGACAAACATTGATTCATGGCATATTTTTTGTCATTGGATTTTCGACTTGAATTTCTTAGCCAATGAGTTAAAATTCTAAAAAAGGAATTTGAAAGAAAGGAGTACGTCTACCCTACTGTACTTACATCAAAGATTCATCAGTCGTTTCAAATAACTGTTTTTTATTTCAGGAATTGGACGCGCCCTTTAAGATATCAGCGTTATGCGCCAACCACTACCTCTATACTATCACCAAAGTGGTCATCTTATCGGCGTTGTCAGGCGTGCTCTCAGAGATGCTAGGGTTCAAGCTAAAACTACACAAAATCAAAATTAAATAAAAGCGCGGAGACTACGTTATTGCACTGTGCAATAATCTAGTTTACTAGTCTGAGAGGCCATTTACATTATTTATATGACATCTTACTGCGCTAAATCACAAATACTTATTTAACTATCTAAACATCATGTTGCGCATAATATTATAACTTAAATCAAATTTTAGTATTCATACTAAATCAAATTCTAACCATAAAAATCTAACTGCACTTAGCAAAATTAAAAATCTTATTCAACATTTAATAATACGTATTGTAAATTATTGTTTCAAATAAAAACGTAGGTAGTTAATGTGTTATAGTAAATTTCTAAACAGGGATGTATTATGTAAGTAATCAAATACTTTATGTAGTTTTTCGAATTATGAACTAAAAATAATCACATATTTCCAATGTTTACCACCTTTTTTACAACTTTTAGAATTTCTCCCGAACTATGTACAATCAGCAAAACTAATTGGTACTGATAAGAAAATAAAGATTGATTTAGTACTGAAACAGTGATTGAACAACTCCAAACGTTTGTTTTAGAAATTTAACTTCTATTATAAAGCATATAATTTAGAACACAACAGGTACCTGTTGTTATAGAAATTGTTCTAAATTATATGCTCTGCATCTGCCAATCTTTTTTTTATTACTTGTTTACCAAATAGTTTGGTAAATTGTACAGACGTTAAAATTAACCTCATGTTGGTTATATTTATTATGTTTATTGAAAAATATATCGATTCCTTTTAATCAACAAATCCAATGGACTGACTTACTGTACAGTGTACACTTCTGAAAACCATACTTTTCACGTGCCAAATGTTATTTTTAGACAACTTCTCGTTTGTTTTTTTGCCATAAAATAGTATTCAGCATATTTCTAATATCATTTTTTTTTTCTTTAATTAACAAATGGTATATGTACAATTTTGTATTCTTGCTCTCTAATTAACTTATATCTTTAATGTAATTATAGACAGATCTTCTATTTTTTTTAAATAATTTATGGCAATCGGTTTTCTCGTTGGAAAGATGTAGTCTATGTATGTACCATTATTTTATGAGCTGTTTACATGTAATTGTATGTAACTCTAAGCAACTTGAGGCCTTTCTTATTATATCGTTGGTTATTCTAGAAGTTGTCATGTTTAATACTTAACACTGTGTGGTAGAATTAGTTCTATTGTTCGATATTTTCCGAACTCGACTTTGTACATGTAGTCTTGAAATAAATTGTATTAATTGGTGCCCAATCGAGAAATTTGATCCATGACCTGTTTTGACAATAAATCGTTAGTCGACAAAATATCAAAAATTCAGAAACCCAAATGTCGACTTTAAAAATTATTATCGGGTCATAATTCAAATTTGTCGATTGTACCGAAAAGTAAACAAAAAGAAAGGGCTGTGACGTGCGCTAAACGAACCATAATACCCTCATCAGCTGTCACAGGAATTTGTTATATACGCAAAAATTCTCCCGTATTCCGGAGGCAAGGGAATGTTTTATTTTTGACCTACGTAAATTAGTTATTTATTTACATCATTTTTTTTTTCTCGTTAAATGTATGATGCTATATTTGTTATGATCTCATATAAATTTTTAGTTAATTTAAATCTATTATAAACTAGCTGAATGAAGTCTACTATTCAGGATAAATTACGATAGCTATAAAATAGTTTTTAACATCCCACACTGACTCTGAAAAATGTTACCTACCTTACTTTTTAATGGTAGTAAAACTAAGTCTTAAAAACTCTACAGCTGATATTTAACTAAATACGAATTTGGTGTTTTGCCATAACACCTATTTAAGGAAATATGGTTTCTGTGTGAAAACTTGATTTTAGTGCTATTTTTAAAAGATTAAAACATGATTTTCATTACAAATGACATAATATATTATTAAATTAATGTTTTCGAACATTTTCGTTCATGTATGTTATCAGCAATCATGTTATTACATAGTGAATGGGTAACTATATAATATTAGGTTTAGTTCAATAAATGCCATTATTTTTATATGTTAACTTTCTCTTATGTTCCTAATTATTCTGTATTGTTTAAATATTCTCAAAAAGACAGTTATTGTAAATAAATAGTAAGTTATTTTTTTATTTACTTTTCTATAAAAGATATGAATTGTATACACACTCATACTGATGTTTTAAATATACAATTCATTGTAAGAACGAATTCAAATGCTTAATGTTAGTAGTCGTTTGCAATTATTACCTTAAAGAGTTTTTAGTAGCCAAAATAAAGACCACTGCATGGTGTTTATCTCTTAGTGTAGTATTAAGTCTTAGTTTGCATAATCTTAGATATTGTAATAGAAAACAAAATGTAGGTGCTTTCTTAAATCGCTGACTGGTATTTTTAAATACCAAGTATTATCGTTACATTTAGTTTTAAGTAGATTGTCATGTGAGCATAAAATGCATCACAATGAGGCAACAAATAAATAAATTATACTTAGAACCTTGGACAGTTTTATTTCTGTAATTTCATCGTTACACATCCCCCTCTGGATTGTTTGTCAACAATTCACGATTATACACACACTGTGCCAATTAAAGCTTTAACCTTCAAGCGGGCGCGCGTAGTCGAATCGACCGCGGTTAATACATTTTCGTTCGTATTTTTATTTTTAGTTGCCACATGCATTTCTAATTTCTAGTAGCCTGTCACTATCTTTTTAGGAGTAAAATAAAAACTGTTCCGTTGCTTGAAGCGCTCTCTCCACTCCACAAATTACAATTGTTTAGGCTCTGGCGCAGTCGTTGAAAAGACTACACGCGCCTGTCGTCGAATAGGTTACACGCGACGCTCAACGCGACATACACATGTCAATATTATCTAATTCAGCTTGGAGTTTTGGTGTTTTAAAGCGTTTTTTGTTTAAATAAGTAAGTCGTTTATGGTTATCGCAAAGTGCAGTAATCGAGGAATTACAAAGAGAAGACGAAGAAGAGAGTGAATCAGAGCTTAGCAACCAAGGCTCTGAAACTTCTCATCACATAGTTTTAGAAGAACATCTATCTGATGTGATATCATCCTTGTCGGATTTAGATGAGAATAATTTGTAGCTTACGGAAATAAATAGCTGTTTTACAGGACGCGATAAAGTTACTAAGTAGCAAAATCTGAAAAATTACTAGAATACTGACTCAGACGAAAATAAAATCAAAATTAATGAGTTTTTATCCTTACTTTTTATTTATTTTATGGTCTACGTATATAAACCAACCTAACATATGTAAACGGGTCTTAATTTTTATTTTGATCCGAAGAATATTTGAGATACTTTAGGTGACTTAATAATTGCTTCTTTTTCATAATTTTAATTACTTATTCTGACAAATTTCTCTTTAAAGATAATGATATTGTATCTTAGTACAAATTAATAAATGATTATCCCATAGTTATTGCTTTCTTGGTCTTATTCATCCCATAGGTCTATTCGGTTACGCGCGCCCGCTCCCGTTACAAAAGACCGCGCGCCCGCTTGAAGGTTAAAGTATTGATAAACGAAATGGACGTAGTTTGCCTGTCTATATATTATTTATTTAAAACACTACGTTTAATAAAACCGACTTCAAACTGCTTTGTAGTTTTTACTTTCGTTTGTTTTTGGTTTTTGAAGCCGTTTTTAAACGTATTTTTTTTATTTATATATTATACTTTTACAGAATATAGCATATTATGTACAACTTACATGAGTGCAAAGTTTTCAGCAACACAAATTAAGTATACAAACACCAGGTAGCTACTGTTAATAAACCACTGAGAAGTTCTCTCAGCTATCATACTACTTCATCATTGGACCTTTAATGACAATCACATCCCATCTAGGCGTAAAGTCCACATCAATACAAATTATCACACCCAAACACAAGGTACTGGTAACGTTGGGGAGTTCCCTCAACTGTCGTACTACTTAATCATCAGACCTTTATTGACAACCACACCACATCTATCTTGCCATCTACCATGCCAAAAACATTTCCTGTGCATTTTACAAGAAAATCATAATTTCCACACCATGTGACGTACAGAAAGCGGTTCGTACCTAGAATACCTACTAACTAAAAACCACCCCATTGCTTCCAAAACTTGCTCAAAGCCAGGGCCTCAGAAGCCATATGAATATGACAACCTACCCTCCAGCAAGGCAAAAATCCTAGTAGGCCCCGTCTATGGTCTGAAAGCACTTTAAAGCCTGCATTTTACGCGACCCGCCGTACGCTCGGATCTAGTACTTGTCAGGTGGTGAGCTATCCTTGCTCGCTGTCCGCAGACCCGTGCTTACGTGCCCGGAGATCTTCCCGCGATCCCCGACGCCCGGAGTGTCGAGAAGGTTGGGTTGTGAGGAGGCAGTACTTCGCTTCCACACGCGCCCCGCCTCCTCCATAACTAGCATGACTGCTTCGCAAAAGGAGGAGACCCATTCCCAGTATCGCCCGGACTAGGGCCGGACTCGAGAGGTCGCCGTCGCCGATCACATCCTTGAGGGCACGGCACACGGCACGGAAGGCCGTATGTTCCATCGTGTCCTCAGTGCGGTCCTCGCAGTTATGGCACCTGGGCGTTTCCTTCCGCCCTATCAGACACAGGCACCTCCCGAGGCTCCCATGTCCGGTGAGGACCTGCGTCAGGCGGTACCTAGGTGAGGACGCCGTAGCGTCTTTCAAGCCACTCCTCAAAGAGACTTATCGCTGCAAAGGCAGCGAGCCCAGGGATCCCTGGCCTACAGTGATTTTTACTATTATCAGTATGTAACTGACATTTATTTGTTAACATATTTTATTTCACAGAAAGGGAAACTGGAGGATTTGGTTTCTACTATATTCACTAAAACTGGATTGAAATAAAAAAGCAATATTATTCAATAATGATTTTTAATTTTAACAAACGAAAAGCACTAAACTACATGTTACATCATGTCTTCGTGTGTAATGATTGTAATGTCTGACTTGCTTCTGATATTATGGCTGCAATATCATCTCTTTAACTACTAAAATAACTTCATCCCAATATTTAACTAGCGCAAACAAACTAGGTCTATAGACATAGAAATTGTAATATAATTACAGTATTCAAATTAAATTTTATATTAGAACCTAGCAAGTCTTACATAAGTACTTAGAACTAAAATAAAATGTTTTTATATAATATAGCCTATTCTAATAATTGAACGATCCTGCAAATCAGTTCCTTACTACATATAAAGGCCAGGGAAAATAGCTACTACAATAATTAAGAACAGTATGACAACCGGAACCGAGGAAAATAGAAAAAGTAATGAGACAGGCGAGTCTCATCGACTATTAGCGGGTGAAAAAGCGCGTACGAACTATTGTTCCTATCAAAGAAAAATTTTAATGGCAAAAAATCTTTAATTTCTTAAACGTTTTGGAATTTTAGAAGCTAAATGGACTGGCCTATCCGTAGTTTAATGACAAATATTTCTACATTTTTATGATCCCACATCAAATAGTACAGGACCGTTCAAACAATATTACATATACACGGACTGGGAGTTTTAGTTACAATCGTCAGTCGAAATGAAATGTAGGCGTTACAATACATTGCTCCTCTATCGGCAGTGCTAGTTATAAATATAGTCAACATAAATATTCATGCTATCAATAAAAATATATTGTCACTAGATAGTAAAAATATAGGTACACCATATTGACAACATATGTTTTAGTTTTCTAAAATCTATAGAAAATAACTACATTAATAGCTATTATTGGTGATGAAAACGCAATGCTTATGTTTCTAAAATTATAAATTTGACTTTTGAGAATACGTCGTGCTCAATTCATTAATGTTAGCACATATGGCGACAAGAAATAGGTTGTATTAAAATTAACTATTGTGAGATAAACATAAAAAACTATTCATGGATGAGAAAATTCTATTGTAGAGAAGAATTTGGATATTATTCAACCACAAGGTTTGAGATAGGAAGTAGGCTATTAATTATAATAATATTCCTAGATTATTCTGTGTCTCTGTTGCTAATCGCGTCTGCGTTCTTTTGAAGAAGAACGATGTGAGCGGCTGCGGCGCGAGTCACGTTCGCGTTCACGATCCCGATCGCGACCACGAGAACGCTCGCGGGAGCCGTCGCGCTTGCTTCTACTGCGTGACCGACTGCGTCTGTTCAAAGAAATAAGTACAAGTCAATTTCGATAAAATCTTAACACTCGTACACTGCTCAGTACCGCGCAGAAAAGTCATCAACTAGTTACTTTATGTTTGCAACCGAAAAATTTACGATACTTGGTTTTAATTCAACCATACCAGTTCCGAATGTAGAGATGTTAAGATCAAGCAGCAGGCGCTGTCTGTCTGTGTAAAATAAACAATATATTACGCTGTTCGTATCTATGGAAATGAAATGCAGCTTTTTTTATGTAGATAACATTATACAAATTAAGATGTTTTCAATCGGGTTATTTTAATGGACATGTAAATTTATCGAAGATTACCTGCGCTCACGGTCTCTGTCACCGTCTCTACGGTCCCTGTCCTTACGGTCACGATCACGGTCTTCCTTGTTGCGGTCTCGGTCCCGCGCAGACTCGCGATGGCGTCGTGCTCGCCGATCCAACTCGCGGCCGCCAACGTAGTGCCGACGACCGCTCGAGCGTTCACGCTCTGAAGCACCACGCTCCTCACGTCGCTTATCTACAGTTTTCTAAAATTAAAGTGTATTTATTTAGTTTATGTTAATTAATTACGTACATATAATTCAAAGTGTTTATTCTAAGATTTTTAATTAATTAATAAATTATTATGCTAAAGAATACCATTTACCTTTAATTCTGCTAGTTTCTCTCGAATAGTAATAAAGCCCAAATGAAGTTTTCCTCCAAAATGATCTGCTAAACGTCTATCATTGTCGTGTATACCCAAGTAGGCAGAGCATACTTCACAAACTCGTAATTTTTGTTGTTGATATGAGGAAGCTGGCATAGAATTGCGGTATTCTTGTTCAGCTACTGCCTTCTTCTTACGGAGCTCATCAATCTGCAATACAAGCAAGTAATAAATGTACTGAATCTTCCAAAGATGAGCACTATGTTAATGGCAATAAAGTCTTAATTGACAACTTACCTCTCCCATGAGCTTAACACTTTCTTCCACCATGCCCTCCTCTCCAAGTGCTTCAGCGCGAGCTAGCTTCTGACCAATCTGTTCAGCCAATTCATGTACAGCATTTGCCTTCTCAGTCACTTCAGCTGATAGTTCTTCCTGAGTTTCAGCAAGGCGCTGTTTGGCTGCTGTAGTTCGGCGGTCACAATCAGCTATAAATGCCTCTAAATGTTCTGTTGCCTAAGCACCACAAATCAAACAGTCATTACTTATTTGAATAGTTACAATATGACATGTTAACAACAATTATTATTAAATAAAAAATACAACTAAATGTCATTTCAATATTGTGCTAGTAATGATAATGTTTCACCACAATGTCTCTGCTGCTAGAAGATTGGTGTCTCTCCTAAGCACCACCATATAAACATTATTTGTATTATCAATTGCAGTAAATAAAAATATCAATTTAATAATGTTGAAATATATATGCAATTAATAGATATACTTACATCAATATCGTAGAAATAGTCTTTGGTTTTTGAAGCTAATTCATAATCCGCCCGTAGAGCCAAATCATGTATTTTAGGACACTCACCTAAATCCATACGCTGTAATAGAAATAAAAACCACATAAATACTAAATGTTCTATATCAATTGTCCAACAGATTTTGTTAGGTATGATTTACTTTATATTCATCTTTAACTTATAATACAGTTTTATAACATTCCCTAACAGACACAAATGATATTTATTAAATATTATTCTCAATACACAAAAATCTGTCATAAAAATATTTTAAAGAAATACATACTACATCACCACTGCTCACACAGCCCAGGTTCACGCACAGGATAATGTAATTTATCTTAAATACTTACAAATGTTAGAGGAAACACCCGAATATCCTAACTAGACCAAAGATATTTATAGAGAACATAACAAAATTAAAGGTCAGACTATTTTTATAACAAAATATTTAAATACCAAACTTATTGCAATTTAAACTGTTGTTTTTTCATACATTTCAATAATTTACCATTATCAGTGGTATTTTAAATGCAAATTTCAATTTCAAAATGTGCAGTGTTTTTGTCATGTTGGCAAGTTAATTGTTATAATAATATTTTTGTTATAACATAAATCTAGCATAAAATACACTTGTATGTTATGTACATATTCAGAAAAGTATGATTTTATAACTAGAAATTTTAATAAAAATGACTTGTCACATCTTTATTTGAGTACAAATAACTAAAACATTAAAGAATTTCTTAGTTTGAAAATCTTTGTTGCTCATGCAAAAGTTTGTTGGATATGCTAGCCATTTAAACAGCACAGTACGTACCCAATGTAGTAAGTATGTATGACACCAAATTGCTCTCACCCAGGCTTATGTTTTTCATGTTCCTAAAATTTTCTCATGTACTCACCGAAGCAGCATTAGTAACCGTTGGAAAATTTAATTATTTCATGAGCCTTATTAAATTAAATACTGCTTAGCAGTAATAATACAATCAGCTAACTATAAATGTTTTTATACGTACATCTTGGTACTTACAGAACAGCCTAACTCATACAATCTATCCCTCATCTGTTAAGTATTGTGATGAGCAATAAAGACTAGTGTTGGGCATTTTCTGAAAAGCATATTTCACCACAGTTAATGCCACTCCGATGCAAGAATTCTCCAGCGAAACTACAGTATCATAATGACAAGAGATGTGAGAGTGAAAATCAAACACATACATTAAGATCGATACAGAATAAAGTAAATAAAATTTAGTAGAAATCAACAGATGTAAAATCTCAATGTATGTGGGCCAAAAAAGCACTGCAACTCCCATAATAATTTATAACACTGAGATTTCATTAACATTTCAGAACATTATTTTTAAAAAGAGAAGTACACCAAACTTAATGAAAACTCAGAATTCATTACCCATAAATTTTATCAAAACAGAATATCTTACCGTGGAGGATAGAATTTCATGAGGACAACATTGTAATAAAAACGATTTGCACACAGCATCATCGTAAAATTTGACACTATGTCTGTCGGTTTCACCTGAAACAATTTATATGAACCTGTACTTACGCATTCCATTTCTAGTCTCACAGATTTAATAGAAAATACACATTTAATGTAAGTGTAAAAATTATAGAAAGAAAAGAAAATATCATACCATTGCGAGCGGTGCCCATCAGTTGGTCTAACATTGCCCTCATTTGCTCGTGGGCTGACATATTGAAAGGGAAATTTAGCCTTTCCCAGGATTTACTTTGTTAAATTTAGGTAATTAACTGGATCTCAATAATATAGCAAGAATATCACACTGAGAAGCGTTTACAGCAGGATCATTTTTTCATATTCACAGAGAAACTCTTTCGCAGTCGTCCGTAAGCCAACAAATCAATCAAATTACGAAACTAAAATGGCGGAATTATTTTTTTACCATAGCGTAAACTAGCTAGAGTAGTACCATTGTGGTTTTTATTCAATCAATGTCTATGTCCATGGTCTTACTAAACCATAGATTTATAAAAGAGTACACTAGACAAAGAAAGACCACAGATAAATCATGTTCAGCAACCTGATAGAAGATGAACTGAGATCAAGCAAATGCGTTGGTGCGTTGAAATAATATTAAAAAATAAAATAAAAACGACTTTAAAATTGTACGCAAATAATTTACTTATATATGTTTAGAAAGAATATAAAAGAACTATAAAATAAATACGATATCTTCTGTCTTGAATAAAATAATTTTTATATACCAGTTACGATTTTTTTGAAGTCGGTACCTGCCCGAATTATAAGAAATTATGAGTGATGACATTAAAGCATACACATTCATTCAACCAAATACGTTACACGTCCCCACGGCACTTTTATATAAATTTAAGCCTGGAGATCTCTTCGCTACTTCAGTCAACGTCGCTGGCGATACGCATCGCAAGACACTTGCCCCCTAGTGTATCCTCGGTTTAATACCTTTAAATTATTGTTTGGTCCGAGTTTTCATTTAATAAAAACCATCTATATCATAAGACAACTGAATAAAGTTTTATGGTTTTCTACGTTTTTTGTTAGCTTAATTCGCTTTTTTATTTTTTCCTCCTCCTTATTTTATATCGGTTAAAAAGGCCTTATTTTATATTGTCATTCAGAAATGAACGTCTAGTTCATGTGTATCTTTTGGTACAATGCGGGCTACAGGAAAAGGTGGGTTTTTGATTTTATATGAGACTTTTAGTCTTTTGCTTTATAAAATCAACTCTTCACAAATATTCGAATTACACAAGGCTGTATAGGTCTGTGTAGAGAAATAAAAAAAAGTAATAGATTTGACAGGAACTGTCATCATTGTTTCGATATTGACAGTCCAGCTTTGTTGTCAAAATAAAATACCGTAAAAATATTTAGTAGGTATTTGAGTTCTTTTAAACACTCTATTATTATATTGATAAGGTGATTAGAAATAATGTAACAAAAATGTCCTCTACTGTAAGAATATTAATACCAATTTTACCACTAGATTCCAAAGAAATCTTTTTCAAAGGATATGTTACTTCTTATAATGATAATAATGTAACTATTTACATAACGAAATATGCTAATGGTGATAATGTGTGGTCTGCGAAACAACGAGAAAACGAAATATATGGATATTGCGGCGAATACTTGCCGAAAAAAGTTGCAAGTAGATTTTCAAATTTTCTCGACATAGAGCAAAATACAACACTGAAAATTCACAAATTACAATTACATGGAAAGCAAGTCACCACTACTACTAGTTGTATTCTTATGTTGTACGATTATAACAGTATTAAAGACTCCCAAGCAATAACCGATTCAAATAGTTATTTTACAAAATTAGTTAATTTAATACAAGAAGAACATGGTATAGTAGTTGATAAGGATGATACAAATTTTAGTAACCAGCAATGGCTAGCTTCTTCAATGTTTCTGCAACATGTTTGTAATTATTGGAGATTAATTAAATGGCTAATATCAACTCTCCGAAGAGATAAAAAAGTAAGTTCGATATAACTATTCAAACTTGTATTTAATTTCAAACATTGACATTATTATTTATTATTCTAGTAACAAAAAGAATGTGTGTGTACCTTTATTAATGAATTCTTCAGGTGGCTGTGAAACAAGGTAATTTAGTTCTAGCTATAGCTATGGACATTATGTTGGGATACATTGCCCTGCAATGGTTATCACAAGACAAAAGAGATATTAGCATAGGACTCATGGGAGTTTTAGAGGTAAAGTTTAATCAGTCATATGCATCTATGGTATTTCTACTTCTACACAACAGTTTTATAAACAAGTTTTCTCTGTTGCAGAAATTAATTAACTCTCTTTACTCTCTACTAAAATGGCTTATGGGTGCTCCAGTGGGATTGAAACTAAATAATGCATTCAATAAAATGTTGGGAAAATATTTTTCTTATCATGTGCAGCTATGGTGGTTGTTTCTAGGTAAACAAACTGATTATTGGTCATTCGTAATTATTTTCTTTAATATTTAACTTAACCCATACATCCCCAGTCCCCAAGCGTTCCCGGTGACCACTGGAGTGTGGACTAACTACATTATAGACCTTATTTCTAATGTTTGTGACTACTTTTGTATGAACAAATTTAGGGGATGATTTTCAACAATTTTCAACAGGTTAAATTGATTTATTTCTTTTTACAGATGTGTCTGGAGAGAAACTGTATATTATACTAGACATATACCACTACATAGGATATTTAGGTTTCACATTTCAAACTGCTATAGTGTCTGACCTAATATGTATTGCCACATTTCATTCATATTGCATTTATGTGTATGCAGCTAGGTAAGAATATACTATACATAGAAACTCAGAATAATGATTTAAAAAACAATGAGAAAGCTAGAAGTAATAATGTATGCCCAATATTTGGAGAAAGATTTAAAAATCTGTTTAGCTAATCTAACAATTACATCTTTATTTTTTTATATTGCAGGCTATTTAATATACAGATATCTGGACTAATTGCATTACTCAGGCTGTTTGTTGGAAGAAAGTACAATCCACTACGAGGTGGTATTGACTCCTGTGAATACACAAACCAGGAACTTTTCGTAGGCACTGTGGCATTTACTATATTGTTACTATTATTGCCTACCACAACACTTTATTACATAGTATTTACCATGGTAAGAATATCTTCATATCACTATTTTTATTCCTTGAGTACCCACCCCAGTTTGCAGTTGTTTTGTAACTATCAATATTTTATTTATTTACCTTTATGCAATTTGTTTGTGTGGTTCAATAACCACATAAAGAGAATTTTTAATCAATGTACAAATTTTTTTTCAGTTTCGAGTATTATCTCTCATTGTGCAGCATTTATTAGCTAAAATAATCTATGCAATACAGACATTACCACTGTATGTAGTGACCCTATGGGTGACTAATTCTCCAAAAGTAATAGGTAAGTTCAATAATAAAAATGATTATTTTTTGTCGCCAAATAACTTGGTTACCTATGAAAATTATAGGTCAAATTATTGTCCAGTTGTATATTTTTTTTATTTATTAGGCTCATCGTTTGTTTACACACTAGTTAGACTAACAGAACCTTAATGTAACAGTATGAAACATCCTAAACCCCTTGAAGTAAAACTTTTTTAATTTTCAGGTACAATTCTCATAGAAGTAATAAACCAAGCAGAGAATTCTCCTTTGGTACTCCGAATACAATTACTCAAAAAATCGATTCCAGAATTGTTAAAAATATTCAAACCACCGACTGATATTCTTAACAAAGTCGAATGGGGCAACCTACTCTCTAATGTGCTTGTTGGGAAACAAATTGTTTAATAGTGTATTATTAAATCTACATAAATTAAAATGAATTTCTGTTCGTTAGTCTCGCTAGAACTCGAGACCAGCAAGCGATGTAGATAATTTTGGTCCTAAGATGTTCGGGGAGGTCCAGGGGAAGGTATAAGTGAGAAAAAAATGTTTATTTTGTGTAAAAAGGTATCAGTATTGTGTAGGTCGTTATTTTATTATAAGGAAGGGGAAAGAAAAGAAAGTGTTCCGTTTTGACGTACTTTATTATCGTTCCATATTTTATATTGCGTAAAAAATAAAAAGTTGATTGGTCACCACACGCGTGAACGTATAAATGCTAAATACTTAAAACTATTTGCAGCAAACTGGGCAAATATATTTGAGTAACATTACGCAATTAACAAACCATTGTTACGACCAACTGAATCAGACGCCTTAGTACGAGTTTGTTTTACGTTTAAAGTAATCGTAACGAGTACGCGTTCGGCGCAGTGATTGGTTGCTTCATTGGCGCCGGCCAATCAGAGTGCCGAACGCGTACTCGTTTCGAATACTTTAAACGTAAATCAAACTCATACTAAGGCCACTGTAGACAACTATTTAGAACAATTTAGAATACATTATTATTTATTTAAGACATCACAAAAATCAAGTTTGGAGGTATGTTACATTGTGAGTTTCTAATTACACACTATTTTTGTTTGGGGCTATTTTGTAATAGTTATAATTATGTTATTGTAAACACAGTGTTAGATTAAATAGCAGAAATATTGAAAATTACAAATTCTACCTACAGTCATTTGTTTTCATTTCATATTCTCTCGCGTTATTAGTTTTAAATGATTAATGAAAGAATGTAGTGTAAATAAATTAAGTAAAACCAAAATTGCTGCTACTCGTTTACTAAGTGTTTAGGGCAAGATACGACTTCCTCGTCATAATATTAAATTAATACAATTATTTTGTACCAAGCTTGTTATCCTAAGAAATATTCAATTACATTAGAATGATCTTGTATTAACTTGGTAATAACAATGCCAAATACAAACAAATGATACACTGCTGTTGGAACACTATAATGGAAACTAGAACTACAGTTTTAGTACATCTTGATGTAAGGTTGACATGAAAAAAAAACCGTTTAAAAATATCCAATTAAAAATAATTTACATGAAATTATTAATATATATTATCTATTGACGAATATTGTGGAATGGCCATGCATATTAATTTGTAATTTGTTACTGTTATCGATACTTTTCTTTGTTATCTCAGTGCATTTTAATCTAGTTTTTATTTCATTGATGACCTGCAGACGGTTTAAAATGACGTCGGATTACCGTGATTGTTGTTGATTCCGAATTTGGTTAAAAATGTAGAATTCCTTTACAAAACGTTATTGATCTATATTACAAACAATACATTAGAATTTGTATGAGTACCTCCTGAAGGTTTAGTTTTAGTTTCCATGACAGCGATCCTAACGCCCTCTATACATAGTATGGGAATGACGAACACTTAACACAATTATTAGTGCATGCTTAGAACAATGTAGTGATACACTCATGCAATTATTGCCCAATAGTAATTATGGTTAGTCACGAAATTATTTCTGCAACACCTACAATCATTTTCGAAAATCTATAAAATCAAACTAATTCTTAAAAGTAGTATTCAAACCGTTCCAGTTCTAAGTATTTAACTAATTGTGTATTGAGCACCTGATTATATTATTAGAATGTTTTTATTAAATTATTCTTGTCGATATTGTAAAAATCCTCATTATGATAGTACCTCATGACGCTACAGAACAAATATGGAGAAATCTAACTTAAACATTTATTGCTATAATATATTCTCATGTATTGTCGAATACATAGATTTGATAGCATCTTCATAAATATATAACTATTATGCAAGTACAAAATACATATTATACAATACATACATAGATTTATAAATAATGTCATTGCAAATTTTACTGATAAATTTTTCATTCATACCTCTTTACCTACTATTTACATAAATATCATTCGAAAATATTTTTGTCCACCAATAGACTAAAGTATCTTTTTTTTTTATTTACTGTAGTAATGTAAAGGTGAGTCCAATAGCTCCTAAAATTTACACCGAGAAAACGTGCACTCAAGTGATAACTATATTAGACATTAACTCAATATTATAACAATAACTATTCATTCTGAAGTGAATTCGAACAGATCTATATTACCGCAAGACACGGTAAACTAACACCTTTTATTTTTTTTTGTTTTTCAAGATGGACGCATTAATTTTTATTATCATAAATTTATTATAGAAACAACACATGTTTCGTGAAGCTAGTAACTTGATGAAAAACATGATGTGCGGTATGTAATTCACACAGTGCTAGTCCTCCGGTGGGTAGGCCAAAACCGTTCACATAGATATACCGATCCTTAACTATTTCATTATCATCACAGATATTAGTAAAATTAGGAAAAATGTGATTATGATCACAGTACTCGAGTTGAATTCATTATGATCAGCAAGATAAGCGATGTTTGAAGATTCGCTCGATATAGTATCACACTATGTTAGAAGCTAAACGCTGCGGGCGCGGGCGCGGGCGGCACGTCGCGATACAGAAGTGATGATATGATGGACGTATCTAGTTCTTGAGTACACACCTGTAGTCCTTATTCACATCCGAGGCTGAATTTGGTGAATGTTCTTTAGGTCTAACTGTACCGCGACACGACGCTAACTTTGATTCCAAAGCCTACAATGAAGAAAAGTACACAGTAAATGATGATGTTAATATTAGTAGGTGATAGGAAATTATGTGCGTCGATAACCAACACCTATTATTTAAAGCAAACTATACACTATGTACAAATGAGGCGTGAGACGAGCTGAAAATATTATTCAAATAAATAAAATGCAGTTTAATACAGACGATAACACTATTATATTACAACAGTCATATTCTGTGATTTTGTAGAATTATTAGTGTAAACTATTAGTCTAGTTTCTATGTTAACATTTTAATTTCATCTAAATACACAGATTTATTCAATATTTACGAATGTCTTGATACGTCATTACGTGTTAACAATAAAAAATATCGAAAGAAAAAAAAACATTAATCTCTAGTAAAGCTATATAATGCATTGAACTATTTCATATTAATAATAAAAACTAAATGACATTAGTTTCGAACTTTCTTTGACTGATCATGCCCTTTTCTAATAGAAGCGAAACTTAACAAATTCTCTAAGCCCTCTCGGGACCGTACGGCAAATGATCTTCTCAATTTCCCACTCTCTGCTTGTGTGGAACGCACAAACGGTTGTTCAGATGCGCGGTTTGTTAAAACAGGCGAGTTCTTTGCTATAGAACTATGTTCAGATCCTGAATGTGATCGTACGTAAAGTACTTTTTGGGTCCTGTACTCGACAGGCCCGCCAGTATCTAAGTCATTGCTAGGCAATCCATTCTCTGTGGCGGTGGAGTCGCTCGGCGTAGTTATTTGAGAAGCAGCTGCAGGCGTGTCACAGGAGCATTTTATCTTACCACATTCACGGCAAAGAAACCTTTCAAGCTGGAAGCAATAAATTCATGCATACTACAACAACACAACCATGCATATACAATTAAGGAAACTATAGACATGACGAGATCTTGGTTATGAAACTACTGCTATAGTGCAACATAATATTTTGAGCTCAACTAAAGATAAAATTATTATAAACCTATTTGTATTAACGTTAATCATGAGTATGTCCAGAAAGTAAGTTTTCAGCATGATCATGATAAAACTCCACTAGGAGTGGAGAGCAAGCAACAAAAATCTTTCTCATCATTACCAATATATATCTACATAGTGAAACCGTTTGAATAATTTTATGATTATTTAAATTTAGTCTTTAATATACAAGTAGAAATTATTTAGAATATAACCATAATTATTATAATCTTATTTACTGATTTACATTACCAAATTAAGAACACTTACTTTCTTGACAAGTCCAAAACCTACTTACTACATGAGAAGTGAAACTAAATATTATTGCACAACACATAATGCAATTATTAAGTCGAATTGCGGATTAGACATATACTACACTCAATGGTGTGATATATTTTATTTACAATAATTCAATTAATCAAAAAATTTACTGTAGATTGTGATGGATTATTTTGATCTATATTTTTAGCCATAAATATTGAGTTTCATCTTATATTGATTTTTTTTTTAAATATGTTTGAGTGGCTTTAATGTCGAATTAGGTACATGTGTCTTGCAGAACATTCAGAAAAATTGCATTTATAGATAAAGTTAATACTAAATATTTACTAAATCATCAATTCAACCTAAACATTAAATTCAAATCTATGTAATGGTTTACCCAGTGACAATGACAATATCATGATTAAAATATTTGCTAATATTAAAGATAATATGGAAATAAATAATAATAAGTTGATTCCCAAGTTATTTTATTTTAAATCCATACTTACATTATCGAAGATTTAACTGTATACATAAAATAATAAAATAAATTATTATAATGTATAGGCATTTGTGCTTTCTACAGCTTAATAGATACAACATAAATAAATATGCAAATATAATAAATACATACATAAATAAATAAACAGTAACAACCATTAAATAAGTACTTAATAAACCATAGCTTATTCCCTATCGAGTGCATTCTAAAGTGACTAGTGCTACAATTAGAACTAAGACAGCTTTGACTAAAGTAAGAACATTTGTATGACTCACCCCCACTTTGCGTAGTAAATCGCCCACTATATTTATGGCCGTTACCCGAGATGATGGTGTCATTCCGTTGCCATTTATTTCACCTGTAATCATGTAATGATTAAAACACTTAGATTACGTCATTGGTAACAACAAAATTAAACTATGATTACAGATTGAACACCTTATCACACATTTAAAGTAAAAGTGTTATTAAATGAAAATTTTCTTGAAGTGAGTAATGCCATTTAAGTAATTATTTCGCAGATCAACATACATATTATAAAAAAAAAATTTAGGCTTTTTAAATAGTCAATTCATGTAAATACTCAATTCAAAAAAATTTTCATTCAATAACGGTTTTATATTAAAGGTGCTTTATGTACGGTTTATGTGCATAAAGCTCTAATATTAAACAAAACATGTTAAAGGCTTTTAACACACTTATTATTCCTCTGGTGATGCAAGACTATGCTTATGTATGTATGGCACTGATCACTCGCTATGACAAAATTGCTCATTTCTCCTATATCACATAAAATATCATAATTACTCAGCTGCATTAAATGGCTATGTTAGAAAAAACTTACGTTTTTGTGGTGACATCAGAGAAGTTTGTGTTTCTATCTCAACTTGAGTCCGAGTTGGGTTTGAAATATGTCCATTGACTAAGGAGCTATCAAGTGTACTGTCATCTCCCTTCTTTGGTTTGGGAACCTTTTCCATTACCTTCAGTTCTTGCTTCAGATCTGTAAAAGGCAAATTTTCTTTGAAAATATTTATCCTATTAACTACTATGTTGGTTTAAGTAAACAAGTCACCATAAACATAACTGCAATGGTATATTTCTATAGTCAAGTCATGAAGTTTTAGAATAAATATTCAATAGTAAATACTAGTTTGGCATAACTCCCATGTCATGTCACGGCAAAATAAGCATCAGCTCATCACCTAATGTGGGAATCATACCTAGAAAAATTAGAAAGAAAATAATGTGAATGTTTTAAGTGATTTATCACAATAAAGATAATTGAAATGTAACCTCAGTAAAATAAATGTAATTGGATTAATTATGTTGACTATTAAAAACCAATTAAAATAACATTACTTTCAAAGTGCAATCATTTGCAGATCATTAGCATTGGCATAATTATTCTTGCATTAAATAATACTAAATGGAATCAATGTATGTACCAATTAACAATAAATAAACTGATGACATCACCATCTTATCAAAATTTCTACATATTTCTATTTCACAACTTTAACAACAATAAAAAGTGGGTCTAAATGCCCCTTTACAAATCTAAATAACAGACATGGTGACAGCAATCCAAATAATACATGTTTTGAAACAATTATGATAACACAAATTAGTTATCATACCTCTAGCTTCATCTGTTGCTCTTTGCAGTCTGATCCTCAAATTCTCCACTTCATCAACCTCACTCTCCAGGACAGCATTTCTCTCATATGCTTGGTTTAACAGTGATTCAATGTATGACACTGATTCTGATATTACTCTGTAAAAGAGTGAACAAATGTCCATTCACACATATGTTGCTGTGGGGTAACTTTAATGACATACATACTATTGACTAAATTGTAGTTCTATGTAATAGATAAGAAATAACTCAGTGTTCACTGTATGTAAAAAAATTACTTTTTTATGCTTATTAAACTGTCAAACACCAAGCGGTCACCGGTGACTGCAACCTATTGTTCTTTAATTGTGTCTATAATAACGGTGCTCGACGAGTTAAAATAAAACTATATTGGAATATTAACAAATTTAAGTTTCATTGTAAAATACCCAAGATGTTTGCGCTTTGCAAACATGACTTATCTTTGTTAAAATAAGTGTAGAATAGATAACACGATAACTAGGTATCAACAAAAACAAGAATTAATTTTATTATACAACTCTTAAAACAAGCTACTGACCCACATTTAGATCAGTTATTGCACAGTGGCTATTACAAGTCTTGCAATAAATTACAATCAATATTTTATTATGTAATGCAATGCAACCTTACCTCTGACCTCTCTCCAAATCATCATTTTTTTGTTCTAACTCCCTGATGTAAACCCCTTGTTTTTCTTTATCTATTTTTAATGCTTGTAGTTCATTCTCTAAGGCATTTGTTTCATGCTGACTTCTTTCCAATTTGTTCTAAAATACAAGGAACACAATAAAAAATGATTCTCTAACAAACATTAAAACCCAATTGGAAAATACTTACCCTTAGCATTTCAATTTCGTTTTTCAATCGCTGATTTTGATGTTCAAGATCTCTGTTTTGTTTCTCAACTTGTACTAACGATGCTTCTAATTCCTTTTCAAGTTGCGCTGAGTTTTCGGTGTAATCGTCCAATTCTTGTTGTAAATCGATGACCCTAAAATATATAATAGATGGTGAATCATGAACATGGTAGTAACATGAAATAAGCAATACTATGTTTTAAATATTTCTTTCAGTAATGTTTCAAGTCCACTTACTTTTGTTCATAATGCTTTGCTTGTTTCTTCCAATACTCAACTGTATCAGAATCTGACTGTCTTGGAGATTCCATGTTTGCAACAATTTACACTACTTTCAATATATGAGATTCTAAGGATGTTTAACGATTCATAACAAAATTATGTTACAGGTTTTAACTATTGCGCAGATTCTATAAATGTAACTTGTTCGTATCGAATTCGTTGTGATCAATAATTTTCACGTTTTGTTTAACATTAGTCGTTAAAACACAATAACTGACACAATTTCGTCGTCAAAAAATCCAAAACAGTAAAATCCAATGAATGAAATTAAAATGGCTGCGAAAAAGACAATGACAATTAAATAAAAAAAATTAAATGTCACATTTCACTCAAATAGTACACGGGCTTTTAATCAAATGCTTTAAGTCTAGCTTGAAACATATTATTCAAAATAATAAATTCAGCCATATATGGTGAAATAATTATTAAATAAATAAATAAACAAAAGTAATAAAATTGACATATTTTACAGTACTTGTAAAAATCTTAAAGTATTTTGTTTTTGGTTGTTTTTGACAGTTTTGTGGCAGATGATAGTGACAGCTCTGGTGACAACCTGATAAGTATGACAATTCCTGAATCCCACGAATAAATTACAGTAAATTGTTATGAAATAAATAAAAACGGTTCTAAATAGTATAGTGAAAATTTATTATGAATTTTCCATTCAATTTACTTAGTATTATTAGTGCCAACACATATCACTTAGACGCATTCCTATTGCAATGCTGTGTTATCGATGATAGAATTTCAATATCACTATTGTTTTTGAATGACGTGTAATGTTTCCAACGGCGGACACTGAAGATATTTTGCAGGTCACGTCATTAACAACAAAGTTAGGTGCTACTAGCGATGCCCAAAACTCGACTGAAAATACTCAAGTCGCAACACAACAGAGCAACAGGGACATAACACTCAAAATGTTAATAAAGGAGATGATATTTTGCTTGGCCCTCGCTCTGACAACGTACGGGGCCCTACATAACTCGTAAGTGGCTATTTGTCAACAATAATTAATTAACCTACTGTAAATTTTCCATACCAAAACACTGAAGTTATTAACAATAATATGTGCTTTATTTTAAATGATATTAACATGCTTTCTCACTTAGGTACACATGTTATCAACAGGACCCAAACTCCAAAAAAAAAAATATCTTAATAAACCAACAACAGAGGTTTTGTTAATAAAAAAAAAATATAAAAAAATAATTTTACTCATACCTAACATTAAGTGTTACATTATTTCAGACCAACAAAGATTTCCAAACACCCTCAAGCTACAAGGTTCTTTAGATCAGACTCAATAGTTCAAGATTGGTACAGAGGTCAGCTTACTAATGTACTGGCCAGTGTCAACCGTGTGGATGTGTCTTTTGTCATGTATTATGCTCCGTGGGATGCAGAATCTCAATATGTGAGAGGAGAATTCGAAAAGGCTGCCTTGATCCTTCATGATCGTGTGAGTTATAATTAACGGTTTTTACTAATTGTATTATATTCAGTTCAGTATTGTATAAGCCATAACAAAAGTATATCACTTGTTTTGAGGAAAATAAAGGTGATATTTACATTTACATACATGTGTAGTATATTTTCCTCTTAAGATAAGTTTTTTTTATAATATTAATATTAATTAGGATAAAATAATATAACTGAATTTTTTTATGGCATAAGTCTATAAACAAGCACACTGATCACCTGACGGCAAGGAATGGGCGCCACCCATGGACAAATGAAACATCAAAAGTGTTACAAGTGCATTACCAGCATTAGGAATTTGAAAATGATTGGGGTGATTGGGCCTCCAGTATGAAGCACAATGCAAGTGTTGTTTCATGTCGGTTTTCTGTGAGGCAGTGGTATCACCCTGGTTGAGCAGGCCCATTTGTGCTAAAGCTTGGCTCTCCCACATGGCTGTTGTTTGGAGCTAAAATATTACTTTATTTATATTTATGGTTATGATGCACTCAATGCTATTTTAATTTTAATAATCAGTTTGATTGCAAGCAAACAGTTTTACGAGTGTTTTACAAGTGTTTTACTCTTATCTAAAGAAGGCTACCTTTTTGTTTAGAGGGCGGAAAATTATTGAATGAGAAGTCTTTCGATAATTAGACTTAACTAGATAACCCGCCCGGGTGAGGCGAGAGGGCACTCCCTCTCCACACAGTCTCCTAGAGTCTGACACTTCAGACCCTTAGTCATTAAAAACCACCCTGTTTCTACTACTGCACTTCAAGCTGAAGCATGTTAAGTCTTCCATGGCTCCGTATTGGCATCAGCCCTGTTGGGTCCCATCTGTGGTGGTCTGATTGCTCTTTAAGATGCACACAGAGCTCAATGCGCCGTACGTTCGGGTCTGGTTAAAGTAGACTACCTGTGTTAAACACCTAACAAACAATTTAAATAAATAGGAGAATGAAAATAGTTTTCTAAAAACCCATTCATTTCTATGGTTAGCTAAATAATGTGTTTGTCATGAGTGAACATGCAAAAATGTTTAGGTTGTTATCATTGTATTTATGGTATTAGTTTTAAAAGCCTTATAATCTTTGTGTTAGATAATAAAAGGTTGCATATGTATTGTCAAACTTTATTATTATTATTACATTGACTATAAATAGCTAGATAAGACAGCCTCATTGGTTGACTGTTTGTTATTATAGTTCATTTTGGTTTTTTTTCAGGTTCAATTTGCTGCAATAAACTGCTGGAATCCAGGCAGTGAATGCAGATTACATAATAACAAAATATCCTCATGGCCTATTTTAATGGCATACACAAGTATATCAACAGGAATTTTCTATTATGGTAAACATGAAATCTGATATTTTATTAAAACATGCATAAGAATTGAATTAGAATAAAAAAAATATTTATTGTGAAGAGTTTAGTTATTTAATTTATTCTATTCAATATTTACACAGGTGCTATTTAAGTCGGTTTTGTGGAAATTGTTAGGTGTGACTGACTTTACCTATTGTTAATTCAAAGGCCATTATACCTACATACTAAAGACAAGTTGACATTCCCTTTGACTACTGATTCAATTTATTGGTTGGATCTAAGATCTCGTGTTTAGCATCAGTAATTATTTTAGTATTAGAAATGTAATGTAAACTTTTTTTACAGGGCCTCGAGATGCTCACAGTATGGTTAACTTTTTAGAATTAATGATTAAGCCGTTAAGACGAGTTTCATCATCGGAGGACCTCGTCAACTTATTGTCGCGATGTGATGTGAGTTGTACCTAATTATATTTGCTGGCGAAATAGTGTGATTCACGAACAGAGTATTAAATTGAAATAGCTTTAATTACCAAGTAATTAGCCCATAAAGTAAGTTATGACAACAATAGACGTCGCACGTCAAATTCACCTAAACTGTCCTATTACTTTATTGCATTTTCAACCTTATTTTTATAGCAGTAAAGTAGAATTTCCGTAGCTAAGTTTCACATACCTAATTTCTTCTTAAACTAAGCATTGACAACTGTTTCCGCATATGGAACATAATATACAGTTATCTTAAAATGTTTAGTCTCTTCATTGCATTTTCAACCTTATTTGTTTTTAATAAAGTTGATATTAATTTAAAACATGTTTTTGTCGATTTGCTATGTTATTGTTCTCCATTGGAGTATTTCATGTATGGTGACGTCATTTGTTTTCAGGCGGTAGCAGTTGGGTACACACCGTTAACAGAAACTGCAAAGTATTATAACGTTTGGCATACGGTCGCGTTGAAGGCGAGGGAGGCCGATGTGATCGGAGAGATATGCTTCGCCGCCGTGACGTCAGAGGAACTAGCTGCCGAGCTTGGCGTGGAGAGTGTGCCAAATGCCCGCCTTATGCTGTGGAATGATACTAAGGTAAAGATTTAAGATAAGCAGAGCATAACCTTTTTAATAACTTGAATAAGGGCGAAATAGCACGTTATAAACGCCAGTTTTATTTCTAAGTGCATGTAATAGACAGGCGCTGACGTCATGCTATAATATTATTTAAGTGTCGGAGAGCCATGCTTCAACACGAATGGGCCGGCCCGACCAGAGCGATACCACGGCCTAATAAAAACCGACGTGAAGCAACGCTTTCGTTGTTATCGTCGTGTGAGTGACGTTACCGGAGGCCCAAATCCCCCTGCCCTTCCCCAATCTGCTCAATACCCAACAATCCTCAAACTCATAATCCCAAAAGGCGGGTAACGCACTTGTAACGCCTCTAGTGTTCCAAGTGTCCATGGGCGGCGCTGATTGCTTACCCGGCCTATCCCATAAAAACAAATAGAAAATAAAAAACTAAAAGTTTAGTAGTATTTTATCCGATTCAAGAAGATTTCTCGAATTTAACTTTTATAGAAACGTGTTTTGTTATATTTTTCTAGGAATACATATCGCGGGACGGGGATTTGGAAGCGTGGAATCAGTCATCTTTAATACATTGGGTATTAGATAACTTTTCGCAACCAGTGGCGCGAATAGTGCCGTTATGGAGGAAATCATTTAACTTCGAAAGATATGTCAATGGCAATCCAATACTAATACTGTTTACACCACTTAATCCTTTGTATGAACAGCTGCCATCTTATTCTTTGGTAAGAATTTTTCCATGTCTATCCAGTTATTTCTAATTTTATTTGGCTAGCATTGCTGTTGTTGGAATATAATCTTTCAGTTCATAATTTTAAGCTCTGTAACATCATTCAATATTGTATATTATGCCCCACTTTTGAACATATTTTAACACATATTCCTTTATTGTCTCGTTCTCATACAGCAACAGTGCTTGATACAAAGCAAAATCGTTATTGAAATTGCAATGTAATTTTTCCAGTTACGTGAAGTAGCCATGGAATACTACAACTGTAAGAACAAGGACACCAGCCACTGGACGTCAGAGTTAGTGAAGTTACAACAAGTTCAAAGACTCCTCTATCAACAGAAGAATTACACGAAATTCTGTAACGAGTTCAAATTCAAGAAACCGGTCAGAAAACAAAATCGTTTAGTAAAGAAAGGCGTGGAATCGCAAAACAATAAATACCCGTGGTATAATTCTACTAATAAACATCAAAAGAATGGAATATTTAATTTTCTTTTAAAAAGAGGTTTCACTGCTTCTAAAGCAATTGAAAGTGTTGAGGAAGGGTCGCAATGGCTATCTTCATTAGATTGGTTACAAGACTGTGGGATGAAGGCGTTGCCGGCAGAAAGGAGTTTCTATGAGCATTATGAACAATGTCAAACGCTTGAAGAGTCCTTCAGTCCAGACCCTGAAGAAACTCCAGAAACAGAAGAGTAAGTATTGTATTGAAATATGACCTTTATGTATATGTAATAAGGTTGTTTTTAAATGACGCCTTTGTAAATAAGTAGTAGAATTAGAATGTCTTAAATTCCAATGAACTTTATCAACTATAAATTGGACACTGCTACCATGGCGATAAGATTTATTTTTCTTTGCATTCATCAGTAGCCTTAATCTGTTGTACTGTTATGATAAGTTACAAATTAAGTCCCTTTACAGAATAGAAACAACAATGTTACCGTTTGAAGACGATCCACTATCATCAGAAAATCTCCTAGAAGACAGTGTCAACCACTTTTGTAAGGTACTCAGATTTGCCCACGAATGGGGTCCACCAATATACCCTACTGGGGCCTTGAACATAGATGAACGTCGAACAAATATAACGCATATAGATGGAATGTCTTGCGCGCGCAACTTCAGTCTGCAAATGATCGCGATTGATAGTGTCAGAAACCACCATTTTGCTGAATCCCTTGGAATAGATATTACTAATAAGAAGGATATGACTGCCGTCGTTATATTGGATAATAAGGTTAGTCAATTTTCTGGAACATACGATACTCAACTTTATTGTTTTGTAATACAGTCGAAGACGTAAAAATAATTTAGTACACTATAAAATAAAATTGCAGAACGAAACGTGTTTTTAGTAAAAATAATATTTATTTTCCACAGCATGAGAGCCAGTTCTTATTATCAGAGGAATACAACGCGAAGTCAATAAGAGAATTCATATCAAACTTTACGAACAAAAGTCTGAAGCGTTCCCTTCGTTCCCACGTGTATGATACGATGCATACACATTACTTCGGCTCGGATGGTACGTCTGAACAGATGGGCATCAGTGAGAACTCCGTCTATATTGAAGATCTTACCTCAAGAACATTTAGAAGAATGGTGAAGACACCGGGGATGGTGTGTGACAATAAAATATTATTATCTATTTAGTCCAGTTACGTATGCGTAAAATGGTGCCCTCTCTTTTCCCTTTATCCCTTTCCTTTCACTGTCCATGTCCCTTCAACTTCTATCCATAAGTTGAGATGGAAGGGGTCATCTTACTTTTAAACTTTTTCCTTGGAGGACAAAAGGGTGAGAGAATGAGGTCTCCCTCCTTATTCTTTCATCCTATGTGGAGGGGGAACTTTCTCGTTAAGTTGTCTTTCCTTTGATTGCTCTTTATGCTTTAAGCAAATACCGTCTGCAAATGACCGACTGACTTTTGTTTAACTATCATCATATATCTGTTTGATGTCGTAAAGCGAGTGTCTCTGCTGTAGATGTCCCTGGTGGCGGTATGCGGCGGGGCATGCAGCGCGCGAGTGTCTCGTGCGCTGGTGGGCGCGCGGCGGTTGCTGGCGGGCTGCGGCCTGCGCCTGCGGCTGGCGCGGCTGGACGCGCTGCGGCACGACCTGCCCTGGCACTACACCGTGCATCACTACCCCACGCTACTTGTATTCCCAGCGCACAGGTAAAAAACTTCATCTTAAAACTTTACGAAAGTAAGGTTTCGCCACTTGTCAATCCTTAGATTGACAACCCTTTCCCCCTCTCTTACGAGGGGGGAAAGCGTTCAAAACTGAAAATTTTCTAACTAATGATTATAAGTCATCGGCTGAGAAACTTTTTTGCGCAATTTAAAGTTACCACCAAGACCTTACAGTGACAAAATGCATTTAGGACCAATTTTCCCCTCGCCAGTTATTATCAGAGGAATAATTTTGAATATTTGACAATTCTTCCATACTAATAACTGTCAACTGTCAATTTAATTCTCCAGTTAAAAATTAACTGACGATTGATAAATCGGCCTTTAGGACCTGATCCAGTCAGCCCAAACTAACCTTTATTATCTGTAAATAAAGATGCAAAAGCCTTTTGACGCCCCATGTTTTATACAATGACCTACAAACACACGTGTCGTAGATAGACGTATCGCCACTACTTTGAACTATTATTGTATGTGAAGGACGCCCTTATCATAGGCTCGCAAATATTTCCAAAATATGCGTTGTTAAGTATGTTTGTTTGTGTTAGGCGAGGCGAGGCGGACAGTGAGTCATATCCGGGGGAGGCTCGCATTACGTCTGCGGGCGCGGTGGCGCTGGCGCTGCGGTCGCTGGCCGCGCCGGAACATTTGCGAGTGAGGATCGCGTTATGTGCTGCGGTGCTGGTACGTTCATACATACTACTCATTGTTTATTTGTAGTTATCAAATACCTTGCTATCTACGTAACCTGTAAGTTTGTTCTTGTTAAGTATCAATGGTTTGGGTTATTAAGATTAGCAATAAGTTCATACCCTATACATACGTACCTACCTACTTATAACTAGCGAAAACTGCGTGTCCAATAAGTACGTTCATCTTGTTAGTGTATGTAGTTGTTAACTCATTTATTATATTACAGAGCCACAACGAAAAGAAGACATGTTTAAAAGATATAAAAGAACACGCGACGTCAGTTATAAACAAAAACCTCAGACACTGGCGGCAGATTGAAGACAGAGAACTTAAAGAAGCCTTATTTAAAAGACTGCAACACTTACACACACTCGCGTTGGACCTAAGTTTATTCCACGTGACTGATCTCAGTGAAAATAGTGTGAAACAAGTGTCCCTATCCAACACCCTTAGTGTACTATCAAAGAACTGGGACATCAACACTTCAGCGTTAAGAAAAAATGCCAATGTCTCATCACTAAGCAAAACGAGTTGATATTAGTTGTAACCTTGTAAATAGTGTACATTGCTCATATAGAAATATGTAACTATGTTATTTATTTTTGAAGCCCGAAGTACTATTAAATGTTGAAAACAAACGTGATTCATGCTTTTTTTTTCATGTGTACCTACCAATGTATGTTTTGTTAAAGTCAAACTCAAATACTAAAGTAAGTAATTGATGAAAATTGGATACCACTATTCTGTGGAGTTTCTTTCACTTTTTTTTATTGGATAAGCTGGTAAACGAGCGCACGGATCACTCGATGGTATGCAATCGGCGCAGCCCATGGGCACCCGAAACACCAGAGGTGTTACAAGTGTGGTATCGGCCTTTTGAGAATTAGGAGTTTTAGCATTGTTAGGGATTTGGGGAGATTGGGGAGGGGGTAATTCGGTCTCCTTTCTTTACTGGAAAATGTTTCACATGTAATTTGTTTGAAGAGTTTAGCTTGTTTAGGTTGTACTGTACAGTACTCCACAAAAAATATTGTACATTTGGAAAGAGACAATTACAGGTATTTTATTTTTTTAAGATTTGAGGAGAACGCTAGTTTTAAGCGGCTCATAATCACGAGCAGTATACGTGGCGACTTGGCCGATTGTCTTTTTCCAAAGGTCGACGTACAATATTTATCACCGGAAACAGTTCACACATATTATCTACTACTCAACACAGACTTTTTGGTAGACTGCCTCTTACTATAGTAACAGCTTTTGTTGCCACTGTAGATAGGATTGTCGATAAAATCTTTATTTACCCATCGGGCTGGACGCGAAATCAGATAATTGGTCCAAATCACGGTTGCCGACAAGATAGTGGAGAATTTAATGTAATGCAGCATGCAAGGTACTTTAGCAGTGTTCGAGATTATAAAATTCACGAAATCGTGGGAAATACCCGACACAGGAAAAGCAACTACAGCTGTGTTATTTCGGAATAATCAGTAGTAACACATGTCGCCGAGTATAGAATTTGATGATAGAGCCTCAAGCCTGATGTTAGATAGGTATGTTATTTTTAGTCCACCTGGTCTGACGCAACGCGACAATGCATTACCAAGTAGCCTACCAAACTAGATAAGAGATTAACGTCACGGTTTTTTTCATATTCAGCAATTATTAACAACAAAGTACCTATATAGATAAATATGTTTATTATCAATCTCTGAATAATATAACCAAATGTGTTCAGAACTCGACATCTCTGCCGAAGAAGGAGAGTGTGTTTTGTTTCGTGCTACTGCGCCAAGCGCGCACCAAGCTTAGCACCGTCGATATAGACTTCTTCACGTACACTCCTGGGAATTGAAGACAAGAGAACAACACATGGTTATCGATGTTATTGTACCAATAAAGATACCAATATCGATGGATATCGTGCCAACTATCGCACATGACATATGAATCATCGCCATAATTTATACATAATGTAAGTACATACTTGGCCTCTTCATCAAATTATTCAGAACCTATGCAATGCTTTATCTACAAATAACACATGTTCGGCTGAATGATGTCTAGTCACATCTGTCGAGCATTGAGGTCTCGTGTGCGTCTTCTATTCAGGTTTGTGGCACTTCTTTGACAATAGCATAACCGGTGGTGAGAAGTGGGTGCACTGAATCTATCAACCCATCTGCTAGCATTTCAGCTAGGAGTACCTATTTTATTTTATAAATATAAGCAGAGTGCAAGTCGATATGGGTTTTCTGCCTGTCTTAGACATTTTTCTTTCAATCGTTCATGTTCAACAGTTTGTATGAATTTACATTAGGTATAGATACCGTAGGTATACCTGACTAAATAATACAAACCGATATATAGAGATACGTACCAAGGTCGCTTGTGTCCGTGAAGTTAGGGAACATTTCGTGGTAAGGCTTAATGAGGAATACGAGGTCAATGCCTACCACACCACTGATGTAGTCAATCAGTGTTCCTGCTACACGCTCGTCGTTACTGCTTTGGTGCACCTGAAAAATTAAGAAATTGCATCAAAGTACCTAACTGGGTACTTAAACTAATTACCATATCATTATACCAGCCAATCTTAATCCTTGACAGATTAAATAAAACGGCATAATTTTTAAGAAATCAGCAAATACCTAATCAGTGCGATTAGGTTTTTGTTGATTTCTTTGGTTTTCTGCGGTACTTATCTGAAAAGGATTTGATGTTGCATAAAAAATATTCTGACCTCATACAGTCGTCCATCCGGTAGGCGTGCTTGCCTAGCTGCATATTCACCGATGTCTTGTAGAGTGCGATAGTTGCTCGGTGTACGTAATGAGTAACGCCATGGATAAAGGATATATTCCTGAAAAACCACATTTTCTTTACCTAATTAGGTAAATTTCGATAAATCCGTCCTGAGAGGCAATAAGATACGCGCGCTGTTAGTCAAAACGAGTCTAACAGTTCCCGTCAGCTTCCTTAGGCGAGAGACTCCATGAGGATTTTTCCAACTTCGGGTCAAAAAAGCCGATGAGAAAAGTAGTCAAAATATGTCTGTATTACCTTTTTGGGTATAAAACTGGCGTGTAAATGTATAGCCAAATTGATAAAATCTCCCATTTTATCTACATATTTTCGAACTGCTTGTGCTTCGGCGGTGGAAAATGGTTTCTGACCGGGATAGTACTGGCAACACCGCGTGGGAGTTTTATGAACGTCATCTGAAAAAATCTTTTATAAACTACGTTTAAAAAACCGACTTCAACCCCCCTTTTATTAGAAGTCAGTTATTTAATATACTTAAACCTTATCCTAAGTGTAACACTTTTCTAAAACCGCATCAAAATCGGTTCAGCCAATGGCAAGATAATAGAGTACAAACATACATACATATAAACATAGAGGTAAAACTGAGAACCTCCTTTTTTAAAATCGGTTAAAAAGAAACTGTGCCTTCTTAGTCCGTAGATCGTCGACGTTAACGTTAAGGCACCGCTTGCTTGCATATGTTGATTATTTTACCTACTACAACCTAGATGAGATAATGAATGTCTAGAAAGATAAACGTGGGAATTATATCAAATTACCTTGCCAATGATAAGCGAAATTCCGATTAATGTTTGTCCCAAAACAGCGTCTATCTTTTTGTTCTTTTTCCAGATCAACATTCTTATGCCATTCTGATGGACGAGTCTCTGCCCTTACTGATACATTCTGTGTCCAATCAACGGAGTTCAAAGGCCGACGCGTGCGAATGTTATGAGTGAATTCAATGCCATCTGGATTGCCCATGGGTACCAAATACCTTGAAATGATAATTACAATGAACCCTTACTATTGACCAAACTACTACTTACTGCTATTGGATAAACTCGCTAGTAAGACTACGAAACAAAGCCAATGTTCGATTCCTGGATCACGAGAAGTGTTGATTTTTGGTCTCAAAAACTTTTCAGTCACGGTATCAACCTCTTAGGCAATAAGAACCCGTGCTATTACTAAAAAAAAATACCAAAAACGTCGGAAAACCCAATGCTCATGCTATCAGGTGCTTGACAGTTGCACTTGGACCAATCGAATTGTAAGGCAGTCGAAAACGATGTAGTTAGGCAAGTAATTAAATCATTTATATATTAATTAAAAAAAAATTACAACAACATTTTTTCATATTCAGACTCACCAGTCATAATCATTGAAGAATGGTGTCTGATACTTCGCATCATAGAGCAACTTCTCCGACAACTCCAATATTGCATTAGGAGACGCCCACGCCATCGGGTTTAGTGCTGTTCGGTAAAACATAGTTCAAAATATGTAATGACTAGTTACTCGCGCGCAGTTTAAACCACTGCTTGCTCAGTTTCTATGATCAATAGAATAATCTTGTAATGCCTTAATAGGCATTAAAATAAACTAAATAAGAATTATTCAATTTGAACCTTAGTTCTGGAGATTAACGCATTCAAATATAGAAACCCCTTAGCTTTTATATTAAGTATCTATATCTATATACACCGAGTCAAAAAATATGATATTATTATACGAATCGTCAACATGAACAGTTCTCTCTTATTTAGCCTACATCACTCCAATACAAATAGGTAGAGTGGAACATCTGTCACCTACATCTCCCACTCTTTCTATGCCGTGGCTGTCCTAAGATACAACTAATGGATTGCACATTGACGTGAGACGTGTAGCAGTTATAGTCACATAACCTTACGAGGCTGCTGAAGTCTAACCAATATCACTTTAAAGATAGAGGTAATTAAGTACCTCCAACAATTAGTATGCCTGGTTTTCTGGTGTGCCTGTCGCTGCGCAGCTCTACAGCCAAGATACTGCGATTCTCAAATGTTTGCGGAGCCAAGTGCACAACCTTCACCACTTCAGGGTCTCGTCGACGGAAGCCATCAAGCACGTACGATAAAGTGTTCTGGTCAACATACTTCTTGAATTTCAAATTATCACCTGTACTTCGTGTTGTCCTTATTTTGGCTCCAGATCTGAAGAATCATGATGAATGGATCAATCAATTTAAGTTAGTACTTAGTAAAAGAGTACCTGTTTGTCATAAACGGGACTGCTGAGCAATGTGTCTTGTTTGTCTTCATTCCATTGGTCACGAAAAATATTATTGAGGTTTTAAAAATTCTTAGTACCTAATTGCACTGAGGTTACTATTGTGTGCCCACCACAACAACATTTGTGTGTTATAGAAATATAGCCTATTGGCAGAAAATGAATTCATATAACATAACTGTGTGTAATCTACATTTCACCCTGCAATTATGTAGGAAATATAACTTTAAATCATGGCAAATTCTTACTCACAGTTCAAAATTTCTTGGTGGAAACAAGACCATATAGAGAGCCCCTAGAAAATATAAAATAGATATCAAATATATTTTAATTTGTAAAAGCATGTTTATACTTAGAGCTCAAAACTCAATAAATAATGATACAAAAATCAAAGAGCATTAAAAATCTGACATTGAATGTAGTTTTAGACATAGATAGAGTTTAGTAGTAATCATTGGCTTTTTGACGTGACATAATTATAAACGTCTTTTTTGGACCATTTTTGAACACATCCCATTACTCTATGAGTTGATTAACAACTTTGACGAAGAACTTTCTACTTTGGGCCCCAGGCTTAACTTGCAGGTAGGTAGATACATGGTAGATACGACTCCTTAAATGTAGAAAAGTTATGTCATGTTTATGTTATTGTGTCAATGCAGCAGAGGTGATCTAATGTTCATCAACACCGTATGCCTTGCAAAGGTAGAGTAGAGTAAAAAGTTTACGACTTACCTATAGATGTTTATGTAGTATGCAGTGGGAGTTCATTATGAGTTCAGTTGGAGCAGAATATTACAGACAGACACTATAAAATAATGTAAGCATAGCACAAATAAAAAAGAATGTTAGAATCTGGCCACTTATGTTCTATATTTTATGACAAATTATTACTCCCGAAATAAATGTCAACGAGAGGCATCATGTTATGTCAAAATATGAAGATTTTGTTATCATGAAAACTTATGCATTTTTGATAACATTTGGTTTTATACAATTAGTTTTCTGCAACCACGACATCAATGTTACTGACTATGAATCGTTCTCTGTTTGTCCAATTAAATGTAAGTATCACTAATCCAGTAATCCTATAACGCCTAGGCTCCTACAAAGCCAATACTATATTATTCCACTGTAATACGTTAAAATGTCTTTCGTCTTAGTTTTCCGCCGAAAAAGGTCATTCACAGAATATACGCGATGGCGCGCAAACCAAGAAACTACAAATGAGTTCCTAGTGAAGGTGTTAGATGAAGATTTAACAACTGCAGCCCAAACTCAGCAAATAGTGGCCGTAAACATACAACCTGTGACGAAAGGAGGTGAGAAGATTATCATAGGTGGTGCAAAAGTTCCTCCACCGACTACGTCGCAAGCTACCAATGACGCATTAAAAGATTACACAAGATTTGTACCGCCAACATCCCCGGCTATGACACCTGATGGAGATAATTTTATTGCCCCAATACCACCGCCAAATCAACCACATCCACTCTTGCAAGCAAATGGTCTGTAAAATGTTTTATATTTCAAATAGATTAAATAATTATATAGATATATTTTTTGTGACTGCCTCGTTGGCCGAGTGGTCGCAAGTGTGACGACTGCCTGGGAAGGGGTATCGGGTTCGATTCTCGGGCCGGGCAAAACATGAGTTTAGTAAAAAAAAATCTAGTTAGTACGAAGTCTGGATATGTTATATTACATCCCTATTACATGGGACTCATAACATAAATAGTGAAAAGTGGGTGTTACATTGTACAGTGGCATTAAGTGCGCCTCTGCCTACTCCTTCGGGGATAAAAGGCGTGATGTCATGTTTGTATGTATATATTTTTTGTTTATTTGGTGTTTCTTCTGTGTTTAAGCTTACATTACTTTCATGATTTCAGGCATCTATGCTGTTCGAAATTCACTTCGTGACGATAGTCCACCAGCCAGCCCTCAGTTTCTAGCACGGACTCCAACGTTGATGGCACGACAGTATGCACCAATAGCTCCGGTTGCATTCAGTCGTCGTACCACAACAGCGCCCTTAAAACCACCTATTTTAAACGATTATGTACGTTTTTAAATATTGGATAGTATTCTTATCTTAAATATCATTTGAGTGTAAGGAATTCCCTTACAGGATCAAGATTCCCAATCATCCGTTACAACGCCTACACGAACCGAAGATTTGGCAGAGATAACAGTCCCACAACGAAGTACAACTAAATTAGACCAATTCCGGAGAATTCATTCATTTGACCCGACTCCAAACTATGATTTAATGACGCGGACTACGTATTCAGTCCCCGATAGAACAGCACCACCGTTTGAATTTTCCGTGGCAAACGACATCGAAGTTGACATTGAATCTACCACTGAACGAAAAATTTTTGATGGTGTTAGAAGAAAAGAAGATGAAACTAAGAGGGACGCTGAAAAAGATTCTGAATCTTCATATAATATGATGTTTTATAATGATGAAGATAGCGATAATACAAAATCTAATAGAAAGGAAGATCAAGAAATAAGTGATAACTATTATGAAAAAAAAGGTGTTCACGACGAGGCTCTAGAAAAAGATTCGGCTGATGCAAAGGAAATGGATATGGAGTACGCTGATAATAGAAATGCCAGTTTAAAAGAGTTACGTATTTTACAAGAACAGATTAGTTCTGATAACATCACGTTGAAAATGCCAGCTAAAGGTGTAATTGGCATTCCCGGTATAGAAGAAGTAACAAGTAAAGGATTTAAAGATTCACTGCGAGACAAACGTCGCTCGATTTGCAGTTTACTTAAAGTTAGGAAACTGAACTTTAATTCACCACGAACTTTAGCAGAGGTATGAAACTTTTTACATCTTTATAAATGGGCACATAATCATTATTTACTCTTTGTTCGAATATCCCGAAGGAGGCACATATTAAATGTTTTTCTCCAGTTATGTTACAAGTCCAAGAATATTGTCACATATACCCACCACACGCAGAACATTAGATTGAGAAATTCTTTTTGATGATTGATTATACGAAACCAAACAAACCCTTAATATATTGTTTGATTTGAAAACTGAAGCACCCCTTGATGGATTCTATAATTGCACTAGTGATCACTGGAGCAACGAGACAGTCTAAAAACAAGGATATTATGTACATAGTAGGTTTTTAAGCTACAATTTAATTATTTTTAGATAACGAATCAATTGAAACTGTGGGCGGATGAGAGTCCAATAGCCAAGTGGGTGGACATAACACATGGAAATTTCACCACTATGGAGAATCCTATTTATATGATGATAATAGATGACCCAGCTAGCGGTCAGATTGTTTCTGCAAAACAAACTGTTATGATTGTCGCAGGTGAGGACTAAATCCTACTAAACCTCAAGCGTATAATGCTGGTAATTATTAGTAAATGATATTTTAAATTATTATTGCATTTGCTTGTAATACCTGTCTGAAAATTAAATGCAAATCTGTTATTTGTTAGCTTGCTTCTTGCACTAACCATCGGTATGTATCTGTATTACCTAAGGGCTAAACGGATAAAAATGTTTAAGGCATTAAGTCTGCTTATTAGTGCAAGAGCATGAAGTGTGTTAAGTAAATAAAATCTGAAAAAATATTGAATATGAAGTCAACTTCTTTTTTCATGTAAATCTTCACTGCGTTGTTGGTCGCGCGTAGCAGTGACCTCGACGCAACAGATGTTGTTCCTTTTTATTTGTCTAACGAGCAAAGGCTTTCAGGATCGATTCACCGGCAAAATTTATTGAAAAATTGTTAGTCTGCCCAGTTTATGACAGCAGACTCACCATAGATCTGAAACATAACTTTTGAGAATTGGGTTTTCATTCTATACCTACAATTAATTATGCACCACCTAGCTCACACGGGCTTTAATCTAGTTATGATAATCATGAACAGGTATGCAAGGACGAGACCACCATGCCGTGGCCGCCGCAATGTATGTGTTGTATCAGCTCGTGGAACGTAGCGAAGCACACGTAGACCTGCTGACGAAGTATCGGTTCTGGATTATACCAGTATTCAACCCAGATGGATACGACTACTCTATGACATTCCCACACGTAAG